TTGTTATATTTGGTAATATACTAACATATCATTCATCAATCTGCAATATACTTGCTGCCACCTGCCATACAACAGCAAAACAGCAATACAAAAGGGTATGTAGAAAACAAACACAGCCCTTTCCTTTCAACATTGGGCTAGCTTTCATAAGGAGCTTTGTTGATTTGTTCAGACATCTTTCAGCCATACAACCAGGCTACAAGTTCATCAAAACATCTCCAGGTTTGCATAATCCTATATTTACTTCAGGGTTTATGTTGCTGTTTCAATATTTGGTGCAATCAATCTAGTTTCTCTTGGCTATGGCCCTTCTGGGGACGCAGGTTACATTAAATAGCTTCACAAAGGCTTTCTTGATGATATTTTTGTAACAATCAAAATAAATGTTATGTTGAATATTAATTCGCATTAGCCTAACTGTATGCTAAAATGCATTTGCATTGTGCAGAACGTAAAAAATACAGTGGGTAAGTTATACACTAAATAATAATAATAATAATAATCCTTGCATTTGATATAGCGCTTTTCACGTCGGGAGGACGTCCCAAAGCGCTTCACAGAACACACTGTAAAGTGAATTGACTGTATATTTGTGGGCGAACGCGGTAGCCAATTGCGCACAGCAATGTCCCACAAACAGTCGTAGATTGAAAATGACCAATTTATTATTGTTTTTTTTGAGGGATTATTATTAGGCGTGTGGAGTAAGGAAACTTGCCCAAGGTTTCGCCCTGACCTGCCTGGAAATGAACTCAGGTCTCTCGCTTGCAAAGCGCGTGCTCTAACCACTGAGCTACAGGACTCCACTAAATATCAGGACAATGGAAAAAAGTGCGCAATCTGTTTCAACAGCCACAGAAGAACAGTGCTCAACTAACATAAATCTGTTCTGATTTTGAACATTTCCACTATTCCGCTAAATCGTCCTTCTATTCCAAGATAATCGTCAAGGCCAAAGACAACCCCAGGCTCCTCTTCTCCACTACCAACCAGCTCTTTCGTTTACCCTCTCACGCCTTGCCCATCCTCTCTACCAACTACGAGGAGCTGCTGGATTTCCTCGAGACCAAAATAGACGAGATCTGTTCAACCACCTCTGCCCTCCCAACCGCCACTCACTCCCCATCTCTCCCTACTCATCCCTCCCTCCACACCTTCAAAACTGTCTCTCTCTCATCTCTCACCACCACTATAACACGCATGAAGCCCACCACCTCTCCCTCAACCCCATCCCTACACCTCTCTTTACCTCCTAGCTCCACCTCGCCCCTTTACTCTCAGATCTTGTCCAGCTTTTCCTGTCAACTGGCACCGTTCCCACCCTCCTAAAAACAGCTGTCATCATCCCTATCCTAAAAAAACCTTCCCTGGACCCATCCCTGCTCACAAAGTACCCGCCCCATCTCCAACCTCCCTTCCCTTTCCTTTCTAAGGTCCTGGAAAGCGTTGTTGCTTCCCAGATTCACTCCTTCCTCTCCTATCACTCCCTTTACGAACCCCTCCAAGAGGTTCCATGCTGCCCACTGCACAGAAACAGCCCCGGTCAAGGTGACAAATGACACTCTGTCCATTTGTGACCAGGGCTCCCTCTGTCTCCTCATCCTTCTCGACCTCTCTGTTACTTTCGATACTGTGGACCACTCTATCCTCCTCCACCACCTCTCTTCTCACCTCAACCTTCAAGGTTCTGTCCTTGAATGATTCAGATCCTATTTCTCACACTGACTCTACCTTATCTCCACAAACAACTTCACTTCCAGCCCTTGCACTGTCTCGTGCAATGTTCTTCAGGGCTCTGTCCTCGGTCCCCTCCTCTTCAACCTGGACATGCTCTCTCTTCGTGACATCATTCGCAGACATGGGGTTGACTTCTACATATACATGGATGACACTCAACTCTGTCTCTCTGCCTCCATCCTCGATTCCAGGACCACTGATGTCCTGACAGAATTTCTGCCAGATATCAAGTCTTGGATGAGAGCTAACTTTCTACAGTTGAATATCAGCAGGATCGAGGCTCTGCTGATTGGCTCATGCCAGCGCCTCAGCATCTCAGGCATCAGCTTCCTTGGATGCACACTCCACCTCACCAAGCCAGTCAGGAACCTTGGAGTCTTGCTCGATCCTCAAATGTCCTTTCTCCCCCACAGCCATAACATTGCCCGACTCCGCCCCGCCTCACCCCTCATGCGGCCAAAATCTCAAATATACCTTCATTACATCCAGGCTCGACTATGCCAATGCCTTGCTCATCGGCATTCCCAACTCTTCCCTCCACAAGCTGCAGATCATCCAGAACTCTGCAGCTTGTGTCCTCTCCTGCACCAGGTTCTGTGACCCCATCACACCCACCCTCGCCTGGCTCGACTGGCTCCCTATCCCTCAGGGGATCGAGTTCAAAATCATTGTCCTCACCTTCAAGGTCCTCCCTGGCCTTGGCCTTATCAATCTGTCTGCTCCCTCTGCTCAGCAGGCTCCAGCCTGCTCCATGTCCCCCACCAGGCCTGCCCTACCATTGGCGGTCCAGCCTTCAGCCTCTCTGCTCTCATCCTCTGGAACTTCATTCCACATTCCCTTTGTCTCGCTCCCTCCCTTACCTCCTTTAAGGCACACCTCAAGACCCTCCTCTTCGACCGTGCCCTTGGCCACCCTCCTACCGTCTCTGACCTCCACCCTCCCTATTCCCAAACCCCCACCCCTCCCCACTCGGGTCCTATTCCCTGACTGTTCAGTGTCTTGGGAAGTCCTTATGATGCAAAAAGTGCTTCTCAAATGTAATATTGTATTGTATTTTAAGCTGTTGGATTTGTGCGAAAACTGTGGTGCCACACACATCTTCTCCATTATTTAAAGCTTTTTATTCCAACATTCCTTATATTGTAGTAGCATTCTCCAGCTCTCTGTTTTTTTTGATCAGTTGATGTCTGACACATTTGGAAACCCATCACCATGCTTAAGAGTATCCAAACCAAGCTGAAATTTCCATGCATCCCACCTACACCTACATTGTTTATTGGAACGAAATGCACACTCTCCCCTGGAAGGACGCATCCTGCTTGCCTAATTCCAGAAAGTATTAGACTCCGATTGGCAAAAGCCAAGGCTTGGGGACCCCAGAGTGTGTGTTGGGTACTGCTGGAGTCCAACCAGCTAAATCCACACAGCTTGCAATTGATAATATTGTCTGGTATGCTTTCCTGCTGCTTGTCCAGTTAGGACCACCCTACCCATTAGGGCTATGGCTTGCAGGATTAACAAGAGCTGAGAGGGAGGATTCCCTACTGCCAGTGACTGGTCTACCCTTCCAAGTCTTGTCAATGAGCCAGGCTGGCTGTGCTGTCAACAATTATGCTTTGGAGAACTACAGACCCACCTGGCTCAGGAACTGGACTATCGAGACTGCCACAAAAGGTGGCTCGATTCCGACATTCGACCTTGGAGTCAGTTCAACACCAAGGAGACCCCCTTCATCCCCTCACCCCCCACTACCCCAATAGCAATGTCAGTCGATCCTTCAGAAACTATCTTCTTAACATCTTGACAGTGCCTTATTATGTGTGCTTCTGATAATGCGTCAACCCCTGGAGTGTCAGCTTTGACTATGCAAGTTTTAAAGGCCCAATGTGGAGCTTGAACCCACAGGATTCTGACTCAGAATGAGAATGTTTCCAATTGAACCAGGCAGACACACACCCTTGTCTGAAATTTCCTTCAGTCCTATTCTCCTACTCTTTCCCTTCTGGCTCCTGATTCTGATCTATCCCTCCCTCTCCCCCATGATCATCAGCAACCATGCTCCAGCCTTCAACACCCTCCTAAAAACATATTCTCTTACGATCAACATCCTTTTTCTCCCTTCTCCGTATCCAGTGCTCCTCATATTTTAGTGCTTTGACATGGTCATTCAATTTAAGAGATATTACTTAAATATCTAATTTTTCATCCAAGAATACAGTTATCAATCAGCAAAAAAGTATGGTTATAATCAGGAACTTACCATGCTAGAAATCCTGAAACAAACCTATGTGCTGTAATCCATAGCACTCAGCCATTATCCTCAGATATACTCCATAAAACCAGGAGCATATCACAGCCAACAAATTAAGGGTTTAAAGAACGTCATAAATCCTAAGAGCACCTGATCACTGATGCAGGTTACATCTTTGAAGCTGCCTATTATATTTTAAAATGTGCAGAGGTGGTGATTGTAGGGAACAGTTCTGTGGTGATTTTGGCAAACTATATTTCTGTTTGAAGGACAAGTGCATCATGTTTAGAAAAACAATGATTCTTTTTTAAAATACATACACGTTGAATGATATGGAAGAATGCGTTCCCTGGCTACAAGCTTGATCATATTTAATCCCAGCAAAAGTATGAAACGTCCAGGCAGAAATTTCCAGCATATAATAATAATTCTAGCATTTTATATGGCGCCTTATCACATCATTGAGATGTCTCAAAGCGCTTCATAGAAAATATTGTAAAGTGGATTAACTGTATGTTTTGTGGGCAAAACTAGGCAGCCAATTGCGCACAGCAGTGTCCCACAAACAGTCGTGGATTGAGTGACAAATTATTATTATTTATGGAACAACCCTTTAACTTCCACTGCGAAGCACTACTGGACCAGATATCTGATTATAAAACTGATTTATATGTTCCATAATGTACCTGTTTGTTTTTAACTAATTTACTTCTCTTTTCTCTCATGAAGGCATTCTCAGCCTACAGAGGATATAGTTCTATATCCAAGTGACCGTTCTTCATGTGGGATCTTGGACAGTAAGTGTCAGCAACACACACAAATCAGTCAGTTAGCTAACTCACCACCTGCCATCAGTCCCATCTCTAATCCAAACATTTAATTTGACTTCAGATCCAATAGGAATGGAGGAATGTACGGGCCCAGAAAAGAATATTGCAGTTCACTTGGCTGGTCCCAAAATAATGACCAGAAAAAAAATTGAAAACATACTTACAGAATTTTATTTAAACAATGAATTTAATATATAAATGTACTGGTAAATATATAATTGTTTGCATATACAGTATTTAAGTATTTATCTTTAAAAAATTGAAATGTGCGAATTACAATAATGAGGATTATTATTATATTCTAATACAGAGAACCAATCTCAAGTATTGCACTCCTTGAGCTATTGCTTTCCAATAAAATGGCGTTCTACGTTTTAGTGCTTATTGACATTAATCTTAGTAAAATTTATATCCAAGTTATCTGCCACAATCAAATACACTAAAGTGGAAATATCTGACTTCCAATAATGTGAACAGAAATTCTGCATTTAACAGCAAAAACAAGAATTCTATGAATCTACAATCTAAGCATGCAATACACAGTTTAAGATAACATTTCAGATACAGAATAATTCAGTTTAATTAATTTAACACTTTCTGTATTCTACTTATTCCACTGTATGTCTTTAGCCTTCCCAGTTTGACCACCATTTTAGTGACCAGTCAACTATACTGATGTCCAGAGATTGAAGTAAATAGGAACAGTATTCCTGTCAGGCTTCAGTAGATAAAATGTTGACCACTATGGTCTCTAAATATCAAAACCACACTAGAACACTTTTAATCATCTGCACAATATTGTTCTTTTGGTTTGGAGCGGCAGCATGTAGAATAGGCTTGACCTTATGTTTGTAAACATCCTTTACATATTTTTATTTTATATTTTTGTGATTTTTCTTATGCAATGCTCAGATGCACCTATTATACATGGTAAAGAAAACCAGGCTAGAGCCAGGGCCTTGAGGTCCAATTCTCTGAATGTCAAACAGGAAAATGAACACTTATCCACGAACATTGGTGAAGGAAAGGAACCATGATAGATGGATTGCACCAGTGATTGGCAGGTAGAGCTCTGTGTAAGTGTGTTATAGCAGTGATTGTAATCCTTGACAATGGCACCTTATTACATCAAAACATCTCAAAGGGCTTTGCAGAGTTAACATTTTTATCTGGAGGATAGTTAGCCAAGACACCAGGAGAAACTCCCTTGTGATTACAACTGAGGACTCTAATGTCCACCTGAACAAACACCTTGATTTAATGTCTAATTTGAAGAATAACACCCCGACAATGCAGTGCTCATCCAACATACAGTTCTATCTGTGGGTTCAAAGTCCCAACATAGACTTGAACCCACAACCTTCTGACTCAGAAGTGAGAGTGCTACCAACTGGGCCAGGCTGACACCTAATTAGTAGGTAGAATCTTGTATGTTACCGGAGTGTTTTTTCAGGAATGATTGACATGCATTGGTTTTCTATTGCAGTAACAAGTTGCACGGACACAAGTGACTCATATCAATTATAACAAGCAAGGAACACTGTGGAGGTTACATTACGGGAATGATTGGCAGAAGAGTCCTGTGGAAGTTCTAATACAGCAATGATTTGGCAGTGACGAACCTTCTATCGGTTATGTTTTTACAGGAAACAATTGGCAGGAAGAACCTTGTACGATTGTAATCCAGGAACTAATGGCAGGGCAAAACCTTGTATGGGTTGTGTTCCAAGGAATGATAGGCAGGGCAAAGCCTTGTATAGGTTTTGACCGTGAAGTGCTTTGTATATGTTGTGTTGCAGGGAATGATAAGCAGGGAAGAGCCTTGTATAGATTGTGTTAGAGGGAATGATTGACCAGGAAGTGGCTGTATATAGACAACATATATTGACATCTAACTTTTAATATTCATGTAAAAGGTTGAACATTATAGATTGTACTAATTAGATAAAATGGCTACTTGCTGCTAACACATCTAGGTTTTCTTATTTTCTAAGAGCTAGTGAAAAATGGCATCATTCTGCAGTTAGAAAGGTTTACCTTTAAAAAAAACTTCATTCATTGTTACAGTATTCTAATTTGTGTGTAAGTATGGTTTCAACCTGTGCTTTCCACTCTAAGCAGCACATCATGTTTCACAACAAGTAAAGGTTCACATCGCAATTGCCAATGTGTTGGCGGTTCTTCTGTATGATCGCTTGTTTGGCCACATCCAATGATGGAAACATGACAAAAGCATCACCACTGGGCTGTCCATATAAGTTGCACATGATCAGCACAGACTCAGGAGGAATCTGTGGAAGGCAAAAATAAAACAGTAGTGCAGTAGTGAGATATCTCCACAAAAATATACTTTATTCAATAGATACGATCCCAGCACCAGAAAGGTTCCTTTATTCAATTGCTCACACCTCCCATCACCTTAAGGTTCATTTTGCTATGGCTGTATCTGTGTGCTGCTGCATTGGAACTCACATATAAACTCCTTTCTGTTTGGAGGCACCTTGCTGTACCTGGGTTTCCATGTGGATAAGTATCTGCATGTTAAGCAACAGCTTGGATTGTGCTAAAGGACTAAGGCTAACTCAGGGAGTTCAAACATCAAAAACTGCGAGGAGGAATAGAAGTTCAAGCAATTTATAGTCCATAGCTCCAAGGTTAAGGTATATCTTATAATATGCTCTCAATAAATTAAGCCTCCAGTATATGGTTCAGGATATTGAAAGTGGAATCCAATGTTTGTTTTAAAGTAGGAGAAAGAATCGATAATTTATGAGGGTGTTATGTTGTCTGTGAAACAGAATAATTTGCAATTAATATTCTCTTAGTTGGTACTGCATAATTTAGGAGCTTTACAGAACATGTGACGAGTGGCTTGCAATATCAAAGAAAATTCATTTTTTTAAAGCAGATACTCAGCCACATGTTTTGAAGTGTAGCAATGCATTTGCAAACACCTGAACCCACACAACATGAACTTGCAAGCTGAGATCCAGTCCGTAATGCTTTGTTCACGCAAACACCATCAAAAGTTTTCCCAACACCAGATAATTTAAGAAGGCACCTTTACCAGGGCATAGTCACCCAGTGAAGCGACTATAGCACTTCCTTACCTGCCTTCTGTTTACAAGAGGTCTATCTCATGAGCCATTTAAATACAGACCCATTCTTTGGGATGTGTGAACAATGTCCTGGCCTGGTCAAGCACAAGTCCTTGGCAATCCTCAGCTGGGTACTGGTGCAAGGTTGAACATACACAAAAAAACCATTAAACAGGCACCACTGTTACTCTCTCATAAAATAAAAAGCATCACTGCAATGGTTTGCTGGCTGGACTCATACGCTTCCATCACAAAGCTAACGTTTTGTAAGTTCACCTTTAAATTATATCTTAATTCCCAAATAGTAATGCTGTGAGTAACAACTCAGCAGTTATATGCCAGATGATTTTCAAAGCAACTGTGAGAATTAGGCAAGTTGAAAGATCAGACAAGCCCAAGAATACAACCTGTTAGACGTCACAGCACATTCATCATCTTTTTATCCTTTTCCTCCTCTCCTGAAGGCATTAGCACAACTGGACACAGTTCCACAGGTGCCAGGTACCTTCTTGTACGTTGCCCATGTATTCAAGTATAAAACCAAACAGTGGGATGAATCAGAGTCAAGCCTGATCTTATCTTTAAACATATATGGACACATTTTTTCCAGCAGGTCACTGGATGGCTATGCAAAATAAACTAGATTATAAGGGCAGGAGCTAGAACCTGGTGGATTTTTATCCTCCCAAGCCCAGGGGCATTTAATTCAATTGTAGCATCTCATGCTGCCGACTTGCTGAGCCCAGCTCATTGAGCACAGATCAAAGCTGGGGCCCTCCTGATTTGTGTGAGTTACAAGACCACTGATTTGAAAACTGAGTCCCACCATGTTTCTCTAGGCAATTTATATATACAGAGGACTTAGCTCAGTAATGACACTGATTGACTGAGTCATTTCATTTTTACACCATTACTTCATATTTACATTTTAAGCATTTGATTTGTTTGAATTATTTTACCTTTTAAAAATAATTTAACATACATTTTTATGGGGTCAACCGGGTGTCTAACGCATACATAAACCCATCGTCATGCTAAAGATCCAGTCTGATATCCAATCCAGATTGAGTTCCATATATGCATGGGAATTTCCCTTTATCTGAAATGGAGTGCACATTCTCCACCTGGAGAAAGATATTTTGTTAACCTAATCCTGGAAAGTATTCAGCGCAAATTGATAAGAGCCAAGTACCCCAGTGTGTCCTTTAAGGTACTGCTGGAGTTTAACCAGATAAAACTGGTTGAATATGTAGATCAGTGTTTCATTCACTTGGAGCTGACATGGTGGGAAGCTTACCAGTGTTTTACAATCGGGATGTCACAACATGGGGGGAAAAATCACAAGTCAATATCAAATGAGGGATCACTGATGTTCTCAACAACAACAACAACAAAATTACATTCATAGAGCGCCTTTCACGTCGAGAGGACATCCCAAAGCGCTGAACAGTCAGGTGTTGGGACCCGAACATGGGGGAGGGGTGGGGTAGATGTGAGGGAAGGCAGAGAGGTGGGAGGGCGACCGAAGGCATGATCGAAAAGGAGGGTCTTGAGACAAGTCTTGAAGGAGGCAAGGGAGGAAGCGAGGCGAAGGGACCGTAGGATGAAGTTCCAGAATGTGGGGGCAGAGAGGCTGAATATTATATGTTATTAAGAATTATCTTAATAATATATAATATTAATAAATAATATAAGCCTCTTGGTGAAGTGATTTCAGCACTGGTGAAATGGAACATATAGCATTCCCCAAGTTCTCAAAACTCACACATGTATTGAATCTAGTTGCAGAGGACTGAAGAGCTGACAATTAACCTTTTTGGTAACTCTTTGCTTTAGGCTCAACCTCACTGTTGTTAAGAAACAGAGTTTAAAAGAAATAATGGAATCGATAGATTTGAGATTTGGAAACCCCTGGCTGGTTTGAAATATCTACAATTAAGGTTAATAATACCTTCTGCTATAAGTTTTCAACTTCTTTAAACTGCACAGTATATCAGCATATTACCTTGGCGGCCAACTTATTTTGAAAAGAACTTACTTTCTCAAGCATTGTACAACATATTGTGCTATTTTGGCAAAGTGCAGCCAGCTCTCGAGCCAGCTGCAGGATCTATGTAAGAATGGTTCCTTATGATTCACCCACTCTCCCACGGGGAAGGTGCCTAGTTGTACTCTGTTTCTACCCCCCGATACCATGACCTCATACTCAACCATACAGAAAACATAAAGGGAAAGCCCACTCAAAAATCTTGTTGATTTTTTTGCAGCATCTGCAGTATTTTGCGTTTTGTTCACTCAAAAATCCTGTCTGATTCTACCAGTCAGGCTACTACAGCCAAGATGCTCTTTCATCACACCAGAGCCTGCTGAGTAAGTAGGTAATTTCAACAACAGGCGTGGGTGACTTTACTAACTGCTGGTGGAGGTGGAATGTTTTAAAAACTGAGGATTATCTCAGTTTTCCCGTATTGCCTCGCCTGAAGGGGAATCAAGGTTTGGGGTGGATTAGGATCCCAAGTGGTGACTTTTAATGTTACACTGATGGATAACATTGCAGAGAATTTTAATAAGAGCTGGAAAGTGGGGTTAATAATAAAGAACAACTTGGAAAAACAGGAGGCACGATGGGCTGAACAGTCTCCTTCTGTTCTGTTGAACATTGCCAGACTCTGCCACTGCCTCACCCCACAGGCTGTTGAAACCCTCACCCACGCATTCGTCACCTCAAGGTTTGATTACGGGAACTCCCTCCTCATCGGCCTTCCCAAATCTTCCCTTCACAAGCTGCAGATCATCCAAAACTCTGCAGCTCGTGTATTCTCCCGCACCAGGCTCTGTGACCCCATTGCTCCCACCCTCTTCTGACTCCATGGCCTTGCTCCATCCTACCTCTCTGACGTGCTGACTCTCCTACCTACCGACCCACTCACTCTGTTCATCGGGCTCCAGCCTGCTCCATGTCTCCCGCCTGACCCGCCCTACCATCGGTGGCCGTGCTTTCAGCCTCGCTTCTTCCCTTGCCTCCTTCTAGGCCGGTCTCAAGACCCTTCTCTTCGACCGTGCCCTCCCACCTCTCTGCCTTCTCTCACCCCTACATACACCACCCCTCCCCCATGCTTGGGCCCCGATACCTGACCATTCAGCACTTTGGGACTTCCTCCCGACGTGAAAGGTGCTCTATAAGTGTAATTTTTTGTTGTTGTTGTTGTTCTACTTCTTTGTTTCTGTGAGTGTTCTTAAATAGTCGCTTTCAGAGGCAAAGTACAATGATTGGCTCCAATTCTACAATAAACATTCCTCACTCCACAACTCAACCGATGTACAGTCAAACCAAAAGGCCAAAAACAAACATTTCAAGTATAAGCAGTGATTGATCAAAACAATTTATTCTGGGGGAAAGCTACTTTTATGGCTATCAGAAGCCAACAATTTGTTCTGGAACATGGCAGAGCGTTCTGAAAAACAATAGCACTTTGCAGAACAGAAAGGCACTTAGGGAAAATATAAAGGCAGGGCACAATGCCCCATTGCAGTGAATTACAGAGAACAGGTCTATGTGACCTGGAATAGCTGGTGAGCTGTTTGCTTGGAATACTAAATGAGAAGAGATATTTCTTTGAATTGTGACGCGTTCCAATAATCTCCACAATTTAGCAACAATAAATAATTAAAGCAACACATTGCACTGTAATGTGCAGAATTTTTGATTTCACTGTAAAGTAATGTGGTCTCTTTTCACCTCTAGTAACACAAGTTTCGAATCTCAGATATCTATCGAGCACAGCACTGGGCAGAAAGAGGGACTGTCACCTTCACCTACAAATACACAGTCACTAGACTTCACAGTAAAATCCTGTGGGATGTTTAGACTACATGAATTCAAGGATTATTATTGTTGTTATAACTTACTTGTACCACTACACAGACTGTGGAGAAATAATTAAAACTAGAAAGCACAGCCAACCAGGAAGCAAATAAACAAAAAAAAAGTTGTACATATTTAAAGTACAATTTACGCAATACAATTTACACTTTCATGTCGGGAGGATGTCTCAAAGTTCTTCACAGTGCTGAATGGGCTAGGGGTAGGGGCTTAAGGGGGTGGGGAGGGGAAAGATGACCAAAAGCACGGTCAAAGGAGGTACATTTTGAGATGTGCCTTGAAAAGAGGGAGGAAAGGGTGAGAAGGGGAGTTCAAAAAACCTTCAAACGAATAAACAGTGCTTTATTTCCTGAATGACAGCTTATTCAGGAACTAAAATACAATAAACTGTGCTTGGCAGTCATATATAAACTTTGCTTTGAGACATCCTTCCAAGATGATAAGGCACTATATAAATTCAAGTTGTCGTTGTATATCAAATACAAGTATTATGATAATCTGTAAACCAACTGCTTGGTGCAAAATTATCAGAATAGCGTGATAATAGAATACAGCACCACTTTACCTTAGTAATTAGTGTGACTCACTCTACTTTTTCATAGTACACTTTTATTTCGGTCTAATTTTTTTAAAAATGTACTTGAAATTGACGTGACCAAAATCACAAACTCATTCATGAGGTCACGTTTCTGATTCGGTCAGAACAGGCTGATCCGACCACTGTCGTGAATGGCAAGTTTTTACTGTTCCCAATGCATACAAGAAATGCTGTGTAATAAGAACCCCTTCCCTCCACTACACATCAGCTTACTCACACAGCTGAACATGTCACTGCTCCTGGCTTTCCCAAAGGCACTGGAGAGACACCTTTGCAAATAGTAGTTAAAGAGCCCCCAGTACAAAGAGATGTACATAAAAGGGTCAGAGCTCTTTAGAGTGATTGAGGGTTTGTTGCTATACAAACCCAATACAAACTTTTGGCAAACACGTTTTCAGTCTTATACCTAAAGGTAATTGCCTACTGTGAAATCTGCAACAGAAAAGTTAAATAGTTCAAGGTTCAACTAGGAACCAGTCATCTGAACCAGTGAAGGCATGCTGTCAATCTAATCTTATTAGATGCAACAAGCACGTTTTTCTGACAAAATAATGGGGTGAAGTCAGCAAAGGTCGAGGAAGATATTTAATCCCATTTACAAACGGAGGTGGGTGTGATCACAGAAACAACAAAAGGATTCTTTTTTGAATCTGATCCTCAGTGGGACAGTAACCCTGCACTTGTACTCTCCACAAAAATTGTTTTTTCTTCTGTTAATGAAGATATTTGGCCCCAACCGTCTCATTTCTGCCAGAGGAAGCACAATTTTCGGGGTAAAACTGGTCAGCCTTCTCAAATGATGGAATTATAGATATGCTCCAACTTTTAAACTGATCTGTCACCATCTTGGAATTCCAGGTCCAAGCACAAGATCAAAGTTTGTTCCCATTATTTTGGCTCTTAGAAAGTTAGATAAGTTCTTTTGGTTTTAATATATTTTCTGGGCTGGATGTTTAGGCAAATGGTGAAAGTCATGCTCTTCCCAGCCCAGAAATCAATTTCATAATTAAGATTATGGTCTCGACCAGTTCATTATGCCAGCCCTAATTTAAGGAACATTTAAGGAACACAGCAACTTTTTTAAAAAAACCTGAAGTGGCTGTGGACATCTCCACTGTGTATATGGTTGGAAAACCTAAGGCCAAGACATCATCTTTTACAAAGTTACCAAGAAAAGGGCAGATTTTGTTTAAAACGTCTCATTATAAATATTCTCTCTGGTTAATTTTCTCCTCTCCCCTCCGTGGCTGAAAACCCTTCGACTCTTTTTTTTCCTTTTTACGGGGATAGTGTTCCCTGGCACCTTCTCGTACCTCACCCCAGTGACTATTTATTCATGTATGAGCCTTAATGTCAAGTGTTGTCAGGCTACTCAATCTCTATAGCCCAGTTATGCTCCAGTTGACATTAGCTAATAGCACAGACTGGCAACTGAAGCTGGGACCTTTCTGGTCTATAAGTTCAATCTCCTTCAACCAAGTCAGCCTGGAAACATCAGAATTACTTCATTAAGATACGATTAGCAATGCAGGCTGCAAACATTGCTGCACCTGGGCACAAATAAATCAAATAGCTTCCTGCTGTCATAAGTTCTTTGGTTCAAATGGTTTCTCTGGAAAAAATTATTCTTGCATCACCATCTCAGCCCTCTCTCCACCTCCCCCCACACCTCCACCCACCACCACTCTCTGCTCTAGATCAGTTTTAGGAAGTTACTGACCTGATAGCCTTGGAAAAAATTAAGGATTTCCTTGACTCCTGTGTTGTAAGCGAGCCCTTGCATCCTGACGAAGGTGCCAAGTTGTGGAGGGACAGTGGAGGCAGCAGCCGATGCAGGGAAGTAGCTGATGCTTGTCGGAGACCCAGGGGGGCTAGAAATAAAAAGGCAAATAAAGATGAAACAAGGATATATCTGCACAGCTTGGTAAAAACTCCACCAAGGCTCCAAATTCCCAACGTCTTACCCTTAAGACCCATTATCTTAACATTCATTGGTTTGCTACTTCAACCTTCGCTTCACTTCCTCCTGCTCTATCTCCTTGGACTTATCCGCTCTACTTTCCTTGCACAGCGTCTCCCTCCACATCCACTCTGTCACCCACGTTCATGACCACCCACTTGACCTGGTGATTACCCGGGGCCTCAGTGTCTCGGATATCACAATCAAAGTCAAAGCCATCTCCGATCACCATTTCATCTCCTTTAACTCCTCAATCCCTCTCTCCAATGCCACCAAACCCACCTCCATCTCCTATCTTCCCAGGAAAAAAATCTCCCTCCACTCTTGATGCCCTTGTCCCCCGTCACCTCCCAAACTGCCTCCTGCTCATGAACCTCACCCTGATACAACAGCCACCTCTGCTCCCTCAAGTGTCAGGTACGGGCCGCCGAATGGACCTAGCTCATCTGACCTAACGGTCCACTGGCAGATCTGCTGGGCCACATCAAAACGTACCGCTCCACCATTGCCTCTGCCAAATCATCCTTCTACTCCAAGATACCACTCTGCCTTCCCCCACCTCGCCAACATTGTCTGACTCTGCCACTGCCTCACCCCTCAGGCCGCTGAAACCCTCATACACGCATTCGTCACCTCAAGGCTTGACCACGGAAACTTCCTCCTTGTCGACCTCCTTAACTATTCCCTCCATAAGCTGCAGATCTTCCAGAACTCTGCAGCTCATGTCCTCTCCCGCAACTGGCTCCGTGACCTATCAACCCAACTCTTGCCCAGCTCCACTGGCTCCCCATCCCTCAGAACAACAACAACAACAACAAGATTCCATTTATAAAGCGCCTTTCACGTCAGGAGGACGTCCCAAGGCGCTGCACAGTTGGGTCATGACCCGAGCAGGGGGGAAATGGTCAGGGTGAGGGAAGGGAGGGAGCAAGGAGGGGGGAAATGGTCAGGGTGAGGGGAGGGAAGGGAGGGAGCGAGGAGGGGGAAGAGAGTCAAGAGGGGAGCTGAAGGCACGGTCAAAGAGAAAAGATAGAATTCAAAATCCTGATCCCTGACGTCGCAACGTGAAAGGTACTTTACAAATGTAATTTTGTTTTGTTGTTAAGGCTAAGATCGTGAGAAATTTCAGAACTTTAGAGTTTTGCTGTTTATAAATGGCAAATCTTACAAATCAGTCAGGTAGAGACAGCGGCTGCAACCAAAATACAATCAAAAGATAAACTCATGTAAGTATATCAGTGTATCATGTCGCCAATAATCCAAACACCAAGCATAAACTCTTTACCAGAGAAGAGTGGATTTTCAAGTATCAATATTGCAAGTATCTTACAAATACATATTTAACCCACTGAACGTTGACTGCAAATCAAACATTCAATCTACCAATTTATAGGCTAGAGTTCCATACAATTCTTTATCAATGAGCTCAATCTAAAGTACTGGAGGAAAAATGTGAGCCACATTTTGTTAATATATGTACCAAATTCCATAGACCTTTTTTTTCGTGGTGTAAACATTTACAATACAACAAGTATAGTGACTTTCAGAGGATGGCCCAAGGTGCTTAACAGTCCTAGATTGGCAGCTGAGGTGAGAGCCAAGGGGTGAGGAGGGAAAGGTGAAGGGTTGGGAGGTGTGGAAACCCATCCACATTATTCAAGTCAGTTCCTTAATTGGTTGTTATTAACAGGTGGGGTTCTGTGCAGTGTTATTGTCCTTATCAGATTCCATCTTTTCTGAGGCTTTTATCACCAGTGCTAATATACGACATCTTGGCAATTACTGCAATAGGCTACCATTCCAGGAAGCATCTTGGCAGATTGAGTAGGAAGTAAGATTGGGAAACTGTTACTTTACATTAAACACTCATTCATTTCAGCTACAGCTGCTTTCAGCCATAAATATCTGTCTTCTTGTAGAAGCAGCTTCTCTTATCAGACTTATTTTCAATTTAGCACAGAGGAGACTTGTTGCTCCCACTGATCCTTGAGAAGGCTTTGCAATATGTAGGGAGTATCACCTCAGAACCAAAGTATTGTTGGAGTCATAGAAAATTAGAGCACAGAAGGAGGCCTTTCGGTCCATCGAGTCTGCATTGACTCTCAGAGCAAGGTGTTCACTTAACCTCACTGTCCTGCCCTATACCCATATCCCTTCAAACTTCTGGTGACTGGGGGTAGGGGAGGGCACCACTGTCTCAGGTGACTGTCTTCCGATAGGAAAATATCAGTCTCAATTTGGCATTGCCCCATGGAAGCACGCCTGAGATCTGGAAGCTGGCTGGCATACAGGAAAAGGCTGGCACAATGTACTCAACCTTCAAACCACCGTGCCACCCACTAGTGCATCAAATCCACTTTGCTTACCTTTGACATTGAGACACAATTCACATTGGCATGTAGGCAACAGCCCATTTTCCAAAGCAAGGTACAGATGGTTTGTCTGTCTGTCTGCTTGATGGCATTTTGAAGCTAAGGAGGATCAACTGCTGCCTAAGAGCTTCTGACCTTGTAAACACTTGTTCATAAACCATGGCTACTGTTGGATAGGTCAAAAAGTTCTTGACATTTCCATAAAGTTAACATAGTTGGATTCCTAGCTGGGGTTAATTATTAACTGCTCCTTCCCCCTTTTTTATTGCTTTTCCATGCTCATGAATTTTAAGATGGCAACTTAAGATAGTAGTCACAATATTACTGGTTGATTTGGCCACAGGCTCATTGAGTCAGTCTGAAGAAATTAACTGGTTGTTTTCTTCCTCACAGTGTTGCTGTTCGTCAGGCAGTCAGAATTATTTCAACAGTAAACAAAATACATTTTCTTAGGAAACACATTGGTTTGACTAGTAACAGTTTCATTTGAACAGTAAAGGTGGGTGACATAATAAAGGGAATAATGGGATTTTCAGGAGGTACTGAGAGAGCACACACACAATTAACAAACACACACAGCTCAAAATGACAGATCTGACCTGGTGGCTCAGTGTCTAGTTGAGCTGGATCTGGTCAGTCCAGTGTCGGGTTCAGTTGTCAGACGGTACTGAGTCAAAGACCTAAAATTCTTTCATGTCACAGTTTCCAGCATGAGCAGCATTTTAGAAAAAATTTAAATCTTTGGAACAGGGGGAGGCTATGACAGATTTTTCAATCTCATTTCTTGTCTTCATTCCATATTCATTAATCGCGTTACTTCTGGAAATATCTAGTGATCTTTGTTTTGATCTCCGATTTCCACCACTGTCAAGCGCTCTGGGACACTACCCTGCATGAGGGGTGCTATATAAATGCAAGTTGTTGTTGTTTTAAGCATCCCAATCGGTTCTGAGCCTCTTGTGATGTTAATTCAGTTCCCTTGCATGATCAGGTTCAGTAACCCCTCCAAGTCAGTTTACCTTGCTAACGTGACACGGAATCCCTGATCAAACACAACCTGTTCTCAGCAAAGAACAGAAACAGAGAGGAAAAGAACAATGAGGTTAAAGCCACTGAGAATTATTAGTTCACTTTAATGGTCCTGACTCCTCCTTTGATGAGATTCTGATTGAACGATTGATTTATATGCAGGTGTTTGCTTTTTATTTTTTTAAAAATATTTTCCACAGATAACATCAATCATCACTTTTTTTTCAGACTTTCAGTTAAGGTTGACTACGAAAACTGGTTTACCCTCGGAGTCGTAAGGTTGCCACGGACATTACTTCCTGCTCTATCATTACTTTTGCCCAAAAGAACGTGTGCACAGCATACACACTGCTCAGGAAGCGAAGTCTGTGGTGACCTTATGATCTGGACGTTGATCGGCCATGTGTGTAGAGTAAAAATGATAAAGTAAAAAAAAGTTTTATGATGGGAATTAATTTCCTCAATTTGAAGAAAATTGAACAACCCGACAGATAGCGATTTTTACTGATTAAATTCTGAAATCCGAAAGCTTATTTATAAGAGACTATTGGGCAGCCTAGGGGGGTGAGCAGGTTTACACACAACAACAACAACAATAAGATTTCATTTATAGAGCGCCTTTCACGTCGGGAGGACGTCCCAAGGCGCTGGACCCGAGCAGGGGGGAAATGGTCAGGGTGAGGGAAGGGAGGGAGCAACAAGGGGGTAGAGAGTTGAGAGGGGAGCTGATTGCTCAATCCATGACATTGTGGTAGCTGATGCTTCCTTCTGTTTTATAGCTTTTCATAAAACATCCGACAGCACATATCCAAAGGAGTAGAAAGCAAGTGCTGAAGCTCCGATTGTTTGCTGTTACCCCAAACCCCATCCCCAGCATCTGAAGCAATGTCTTACCTGGGGTAATATGAAGAGTAGTTCATGTAGAGCTGAGCACTTGTTGGGTAGTACGCAGTCGACGGCTGGAGAGCGCGGGGACTGAGGAGCACGGGCTGTTGATAGAGGGCTGCAGCTTCTGCTGAGATCACGGCTGTTTGAGTTGGAAACGTGGTATAGGTTGGAGGCGACAAACCTAGACACGAGAAGAAAGAAATATCACAGGGCTCGGGATGTGCAGCAAAAAAGCACAGAGGTAACCCATTTCCTTGAGAAATGTCATCCTAAATACATCTAACACTGAGTACTAAAGTGCATTTCCTCCTTATCCCTAAATCTCTTCTCTTCCTTTTGTAAACCCAAATCAATACTTTAGGATGCATCAGCACAGTAGAACAAGAGGATATAGGTTTAGAGTTGTAAAAGGCAATTTGAAAATAAATGCCAGGAAGGTTTTCTTTATGAAGAGGGTAATCAACAACTGGAACAGGCTGGCAGGAAGGATAATATAGGTAATGTAAGAACTGGACTCATTTAAGAAGCAGCTTGATGCTGTGATGGGAGGGGTATTTGATGGGAATGTGGAGATTTACGTCTCCACAGACTCAAACACTTCACAGGATTATGGAGTACCTTGACTGTGCATTTCGCAATGCCAGGCCATGAGAGAGAAACAAAGAGAGAGAGACAAATTTCCATGCTGAGGGAGAGACACAGAGTGTGAAACAGAGACAAAGAGTCAGAGAGAGAGAAAGAAAAAGAGGCAGAATGAAAGATCACACGAGCACGCACACACACACACAGTGGAAATCTTGGTTAATTCTCCTTTTCCCCCCAACGCTGGGCCATGTAGTTCATTGTAATGCTCTATCACTGCATCGCAAGCCAGGATCAGCTGACTCAGCAGAAATCAGACAACGAACCAAGAATTTTCCAGCATGTGTGGCTCAATACCAAACAATGACATCCCCATAGAAAAGTAGTTTATTAGTATTTATTTTGAAAACACTATAATTACTAAATGTTCTGCTGTCCTACGGATTCCTCTGATTCTCATTTATCTTCAGAAAAGTACACCAGTTTTCAAAACAGTGAATGAAACAATGTGTTGTGGTTCTGTACACCCCACTGATACTGCACTTCATTGTACATATTTGAGATATGTATAGGTATTTCAAATGTATTTTAAATATATGTGTAGGTATTTTAAATCCCTTAATACAAATTCAGTTCTCAAAGAGTTAGATGACTTATTTAGTGGTCACAGATGACTGACCAAATACAAATAGCTGAACCCAGAGCACAGTTCTTAATTAATCATTTTCAGGGCTATGGTGCCCAGTGTATAGTGGGCCTTAGATAAGGTGTGTTCCAAGTACTGTTCTCCACAGACACAACACATTCTAAAACTTAACAGCTCCCATGTACCATCCACCAAAGCTCCATCAAGCCAATCAACCCTGTGAAATTTATCACATTGTTTTGCGCAAGTCCAGAAGAAACCAGATTCTTAATAAAGTATGTAACCACAAGACCTGAGCAATTTTCCTCAGGATCCTGTCAGCAATGTTAACAATCCACTGTTGAAATCCTGCCAACGTGGCAACATATAACAGTGCTTCAGAATAGAACAGGGAAGGGCCGACCAAACCAGCCAACCCAAGGAGGGCATGTGTTTTTTCTTTTTACTGGTGGAGGGGGGGGCGGGGGGGGTCTGGGCGTAGAAGTGATCAAGAAGAAATTCCAGGTGGGAAGGTTTACTTGAGAAGATTATCCGGTAAAGATCTGGTCCTATAAATTATTGGGAAGGCAGGGGGAATGTTAGAGGATTATTGGTTGGGAGCTGACCAATTCCTGATTTCCACATATGCAACAAACAGGAAATGACATCAGCAGAAACTTGACCATCTTAAGTCAGCCATTTTAAGCCATTTTTAGCCAACTTCCAGGTCATAAGGTCTCTGTCAACATCATTTCCTATGTACTGCACAAGTAGAAAACAGGAACTGACCAACTCACAACAGCATCACTTTGGAATGTCAGCCCAGGCTGTATGAGTTCCAGGTCCTGAAGCTTTGAGCAGGAAGTTCCGCTAACATCACTTCCTGCACATGGGACATTTTCTTCAGGAATTATGAATCACAAGCAGTGATATGTGTATAGCGTGCATGCACAACGAGCATAAAGTGATCTTAGCAGTAGTCATTGGGGTCTAATTTGCACGTTTTCTTAATGTGATTCCTTAAAAAGGAATCCAAGAAGTGCAGAGATTCTTTCTGATAACCAACGCATTCTGCTTCTTGAGTAGAATTCCTATTGAACAATGCAATTCCTTATTAAGGAAGCCCATTAGATGCTGTAAATTAGACCTAAACACAGTACTATATTGTAGTGTGTGGCTACAGCATTACGGAGCCCTGCACTTGATCAGCTTCAGTCTTGTCCCACGGGTCATCACTGCCATTCCCTCTGAACTTTTTCCTTTCTAGTTATTGAGGATAGCAAATTTAAACCCAGGCTACAATGTTTTGTGGACTGCGATTTTGAACTCAAAGGTGGTGATCCTTGAATCATGATTCAAATAATTGGTGAAAAGATAAATAAAGGTCTTGCTTACTCTTTCAGTGGGAGGAAGGAAGGGAGGAAACACAGTATAAACAGTATAAATTACAGTAGGTGGATTCAAGGGAAATATGGGACAGACCAATTGGAAGAAAGCAAATCAAAGCATCAGTACTGGAATCAGAGGCGGAAATACAGGGAGAAGTTGGAGGTTTAAGAATAAGGTGAACAAGGAGAGGACCAGGACCACATTTGCACATTTTCCCAGGTTTGAATCTGGTGAATTGAATTACTAGAAAAAGAGAAATAATGTGCATGTGTGAAAGAACATCCAGACAGTCATTTTTAGTTTCATGTTGGGGGAAGAGGAGAATGACTTATGATTGGTGACCATATAAATCCAAATCATTGAAATAATAATAACAATCCTTGCATTTGATATCACGCCTTATCACGTTATCGAAATATCCCAAAGCACTTTACAGGATTCACGCTAGAGTGAATTTGAACTCCCTTCCCTTTTCAAATAGTATCACAGGATCTTCAACATCCATCTGAACAGGCAGACCAGACCTCAGTTTAATATCACATCTGATGCACCACAGTGAAGGGTCAGCCTTGACTATGAGCTCAAAGCCCAAACGTGGGACTTTAGTTCACAGCCTTCAGACTCAGAGAGGCACGAGTGCTACCAACTGGTCCTCACAACTGGTCCACTTCTGGCTGAATCTAGTGTTGGTGGCAAGTCTGAATATTACTTAAATGTTGATGTTAATCTGAAGAAAACTGTATATTTTGACAGCAACACACCAAACTCCTTTTTAAATGTTGATCTGTTGAAAGAGACAGTTCCCTACTGATGGACACAACATGAACCAGGTCACTGAAAACACTGATCTTTTAATGGACATTTTTAAATATTGTGCACTTAATATTTCCAGTTAAAGACAATTTGAATATGAATTAGTAATTCTTCTACAGCTGTAAACCCACAGACTGAATCGACTTACGAATCAGGATTCAGACTAACTTTCAGTTGATAAATGACCTTGTTCTGATATATAAGGAGCTGAAAAAGCTTCTTGATTATAGAGTAGGTAGCATAATTGGTGCCACTTACAAGTAAAAGTGCCTCAGGAGATAAAGTGCATCTCCCGCTGAGTGCCCTCACCATATGTTACACCAACTTGGTGTCCTCAAGTACCAATGAAATTTGAACTGGTCCTTTGAGTCAATGCAGAGTGCTTGGGCTTTCCTGGTGGAGGTGCTCTTTGCGTCCTGAGGTGCCTTTCCAGACAGTTACGATGCCACTTCCATACAAGCATTTTTTCAACCCTATTATCCACTAAATTCTGAGATTGCAAAGGAAGGTTGATTTACAATTGGGAGATTTTGTCAGCAGATTCTAAACCTTAAGCTTTGGACCAGTAATGCCATCAGGTCCTAAAAACAAATAGTTGTTGGCGTCCACATTCAGTTAGTAAACCAAGGAAAGATGACACCAAACAAAGCAGCAGATCTGGTCTGTGGCTGGTTCTAATCAGTCATTTATTTTTCTATTTTACACATATTTGGGAAATGCCAGGAATTAGTTGATATTCTGATATTTGTCCATATTTGACACAAAACATCAACAAATCAGAATAAAATCTTTACCAACGTAATGAATTTAGTGACTGAGAATCCAGGACTAGCAGCCTCATATAAACAAGAGCAAAAGTGTTTTTTTTAAAAATCTGACAAATCTTGTGAATTCCAAAAACCAGCAACATCTGAATTTGTGACCTTCCTGAAGCACTGGTGTGTGTGCCCACAGTGAGGGATACTGCAATTCCAACAGTTAGACCAACTCCCACGGCAATACACAATACATACATTGAACCTACATCACGAACAGCCCCACAGCCTACCCCTCACCACATTACTGATTACATCAGAAGCCTGACCGCACTTTCAAAGGTGATATTTGCATAAGCTCAATGAGAAATAAAAGATATAAAAAGATCAAACTATAAGGACGCCATATGGGATTAAGACACTGGTCTTTGCAAATTTAAAACTATTCCAACTGTTTGAAAATCAGACTTAAAAAATTATAAATCCCCCCTAATAATAATCCCACTAATAATATTTGAAATCAATTTAGTTAAGAATCTATTTACTTAGCCAGATATCTTTGGGAAACCACAGAATAAAGTAACCTTCAGCGAACTATATGAGAGTAACCTGGTGGTATAGCAGTAAAGTATTTGGTCCTGACTTTGTATTCACAGCTGCAGAATACAAATTTCAATTTTTGTTTTTAGATTTTGTATTTAAGATAAAGATTAACAGTTTGCCTTGCATGTTGCAATACCATTGCTCTCCTTTAATACTCAATGCTAGATCAATATTTCAGGATGCAACAGCAGAACAAGAGTGGTAAAGGGCAGTTTCAGCACAGATACCAGGAAGATGTCTTTTTAAACCCGAGGTGATCAATGACTGGAACAGGTTGCTGGAAATGGTGATAGAGGCCAGGACACCAGTAACAATTAAAAAGCAGTTTTGTATTCATTGAGCCTCAATCTTATTCTCATACATTAAACATATTTTCACAGATCTGGCTATTAATGTGAATTATGGAACTACCAGAATCTTAATGAGTTTCTTTCAGCTTGTTAACAGCAAAACACATATTTTTTTAAACCCACGCTTGACTCAAGTTGTTGAAAAAAGTCCAATACCATGGAGCGTCTTATAGTTTCAAAATGTTCACTAACACACAGTCATCCACAAATGAAGAACAATAAAACCAATATGATCAAAACCATTAAACCCTGAGATTGACAGAATTGGTACCAAACCTCCTGAATCACAAAGAACCAGGAACATAAGAGTTAAAAGCTCCAGCACCTACCAGCGTGCAGCAGAAAGAACCGTCAGCAGCCAAGCAAACTTACATGGTAACTTACATGGCGGTGGGGACAAGCCATTTCGATTTAAAGTGCCACCCAATAATACAAAGTTCATTTCCTCAGCTGAACACTGGAACACCTCAACATATCGGTCCTTCATCGTTCTCTTGTGACACCTCTGTGAAGTCAGGAACGCTCGGTCCGTTGACTTCATCTGGATAAAAGCATCACCTGACGGCCGGCCCTAAGAAGACAATTTGTGTAGGAACAAACGTCAGCAGGTACATCATAATGATAACTTGCACTTGTATAGCGCCTTTCATGTGAAATAAATATCTCAAAGCACTTTACTAAATACAATTGATTAGGAACAAAAATGAATGTTTATATAATCATAACCCATACAATTGGTTTCCATTGGAAGGTTCTCTCATAGCGCTTCACAGGATATATTGTAAAGTGTCGTGACTGTATTTGTAGGTGATGTGTATGTCTGTTCTGGTGGATGTTAAACATTCCGTGACACTGTTTGCTTATCAGCTGGATGTGGAGGAGTAGACTGGTCAGTGGGAGCTGGAATTCTTCCCACTCAGCTCCTGTTAACCCTGCAAGTCAAAGCCCTAAAAGGTAGAGTGGTCCTAGCTTGGATTAATCGTGGGAAGCTCGGCAGACAGTGTTGTCAATATTGTCCTATTCGGTTTTAGCCTCCATTGCATACTCTGGGATTCCCAAGCCTTGAGGAACCTTGGCTCTTCCCAACTTGTGCCTAATATTCCACAGAATTGTGAAGGCAGGGTGTGGCCCTCCAGGGAGAGAATGCACATTCTATTCCAGACACTTCTGTGAAATCAGGAATGCTCGGTCCGATGACTTCATGTGTAGATGGCATGCATATGTGGAACTCTCAAGTCTGGTTTGGATACCCTTAAGCATAGTCATGGGTTTCTGCATTGTCAGACACCCAGCTGACCAAAAATGTAATGGCTGTTTGTGGGACATTGCTGTGTGCAAATTGGCAGCTTCATTTGCCTACACACTTTACATTTTACAGTAAATCCTGTGAAAAGCTTTGAGTTATTCTCCTGATGTGAAAGGTGCTGCACCAAACACAAGGACAATTTGTATTATTCCATGTAAAAAAATATTTTTCAAGAAAAGGGGAAGAACTAGAAATATATTCTTATGAAAATATTATCAACCAATGGATCAGCTACTTGGTGCTAAAAAAGAGGAAGTACAGATGATAACAGGCTGTTTGCATAATGTGAATAATAGCTTCTATTGTTAACGATAATATCAGTTCACTTATCGACATGGTACTGGATCTGTGATAGGTTCCGGCTGCATTGTCAAACTGAATAAGAATGAGCCTGAAGTTTTCTTGCTTGTATAATACTGTGTTTAAACACATTGAAAACGTGAACTGGGATAGAATTGTAGACATTTACAACATAGGAGAAGACCATTTGGTTCATCGTGTCTGCGCTGGCTTTTTAAAAAGCAATTCTTTCTGCCCCATTTACCTGCCTTCTCCTCAATCCTGTAATTTACTCTTTTTTAGATATCTATCCAGTTTCCTGTGAAATAGTTTAAGCAGTAATTATTTGTGCAGTATTTTGACCACATTCCAAGAGGTACAGGTAGACCCTTTAAAATACAGTGCTTTGGGTCTGTAAAAGTCAGATCCCCACCTTGTAATGTGTCACATGATACTGGGTAGCACCTGGGTGCACAAGTGTCCAGAAAGCCAGCAACCACTCTCACGAGTGTTTCCAGTGCTTGCTGGAACGTGCAAAGCCTTTTGTGCTTGCTCAGTAAGATGGAAATATTCTGCACATCTCCCAGATAAGATTAGTCATTCATTCTACGTCTGTTTGTGCTACAGTTGCTGTGCGTATATTGTCTACTAGGTTTTCCTACCAACACACAGTCATTATATTTTGCAGTATATCCTGATTCCTCCTGAATGAATGAAAGGAGCTCTGTCAATGAGAGTTATTTTTAATATTATTCAGAGCATTGAATGGACCTTGGGGAGTGGTGCTCATACTAACTGCATTTAGATTGCCTACCAGTCCTGATACCACCCCCATTGAGTGCTGAAAAGAGAGGTCTCCAAAGTGACTATCACTGACTGCAGCCCAGTTTATTCCTTACAATTGGTGACAAATCTGTCAAAACAGTGGCAATTCCCCAAGAAACACTGAGCATAAACACTCACTGTGTTTCACCAGCTACAGTAATACAAATACGATGTACCGTACTTGCAAAGTCACTGAAAAACAAATGGACTCTTCACTCTAACCACAAACATCCTTCTTTCTAATGACTATTATTTTAATTTGTAGCATTTCCAAACTAGTGTCCCACTTTATTTAACGTTTAGACCAGTAAAGATTCCTTCTGTTCACTTGAACCATTGAAACAAGCTCACCTGCTGATTTAACACCATATGAACGCCATGTGGTCGGATGTCACAGGTAAACTCTCCCAGGAAGTGCAAAATGTCCTCAATGTTGGCGGCGTAAGGCAGCCCTCGCATACGGATGCAGTCTCGCATGTTAGTCTTACACACAAATGGTTGAGGTAGCATAGGGATGATGGGGGCAGGGGCGATGGGAATGAGGGGCACAGAGGTGTACCTGTTTAGAACCTATGATGGAATTCAAGCACAATTGTTTTTTTATAAAAAAGAATAAGATCTTAATCTAAGTAACATGGCATTACATTTACAGGGATAAAATAAAATGAGAATGAATGATTGCAACAGATCTCCAACACAGCTAAGGCACAACTAACTTTGGAATGCTGAAACCTAAGAAACCTTAACAGTCTCAGCAACTCATAGGACCGTATATCCAGTACTGTGTAACTAAAGTAATCAAAGGTTTTAATTATGTTTCATCTCTTTGAATATGTGGAACACAAAAAAATCCTAGTCAGTACTTTAACAGTGGACAAACACCACCAGATTTTATGTATGGTTGAGTTTTCTTTCCTATCCTTTTATGCTAATGAAAACAAACCATTTATATAGCAGTCTTATAATAGACTATTGTCCAGTGTCCCTTGGATCAAATGTGTCTTTCTTCTTAAGGTATATGACATCATTGCAAATAATACAACTTAACACAATCCAATCTGAGAATTACATCTATGTTTAAGGTATTATTGACTGTGAATTACATAACTGAGGTTGTTTGTGTGTGTGAGAGAGAGAGAGAGACAACATGAGCAAAGAGTGCGGATGGGGTAAGATAAAGTAAGTTTCAGCAAGGGTGACTGGGGGACGTGCAGCAATAGTGAGGGGGAGGTGACCCTCTTCCTGCAAATGGTTCCAACCCCACTATGGCAGTGTTCGTTACCGAAGGTGATAACACTACAATACTTAAAGCCCAGCATTGGCAGGCATGTAGCAGTTTGCTAGAGTAGATCTACTCCTATCAGCTCAGCACTGACCCACAGCAGTACAGCTGAGATCCGGAACAGAACGACACAGGAGATTGAATCAATATGGCACTGTGTTCCAACACCATGCGTCACAAGCCAAGAGTGTGGAATTGCTCTAAACAAAATTAAAAAATCTCTTTCAGAGTATTGCTGTCCATGTGTTACTCCCTCTGTTTAAAGAATACCCTCTAATCTCATCCTCCGACACCTCTCAGCGAGGAACCACTTCATAAGGACACAGTTACCTCCATCAATAGCTCCAACTCTGGATATGTAAGTACAATGATGCAGTCTTGAACCCTATATTGACCAATCCCCTCCTCCCCGCTCACCTTCCTCGCCCAGAATTGTCAAGCGCTTTGGGACGTCCTCCAACATGAAAAGATGCTATATAAGGAAAAATTATATTGTGGTCGGATTTCTCTTTAGAATAAACCAGTGTTTTTTTTGTTTTACAATGCTATCTAAAACCTGAGATATAAATAGTACGTGCAACCCTTTTTAAATGTGCTGTCTACGGTCATTGCCATTGATTCCTGCAAAATCCTGAGAACCAAGCCTTAGGCTTTCACCAAAGTTACTCATCTCCAGTCAAAAAACAGACAAACTTCAATTACTAACTAGGGCAAATTAAGATAAGCCTAATAGTTTTAGATTTACATAAACCTTCCCCCAATTTTCTCCCCTGCTTTCCTGAAGTCACTGGCACATGATTCCCCAGGTATTGCAAGATGTCTGCTACTCCACCTAAATAGCTATGTGTCAACTTGGGTTATTGAATGTAAAACATTCTCAATCCAGAAGCTAAAACCTTCAAGGGTAAGACAATCCTAGTTGGACAAGTTCTGTACTGGGTAGTTACTTTTCTTCTTTACATAATGGATCTGAATTGTGGGTTGGGTTAATAGCCCATGGAGTAATCATGTTTGAACACATAATGGTGTACTAATTTATGTAATTGACTATTGATGAAAAGGAGGTGATTCAGCACTTTGTTTCAATGGTTAATTATATAACAAAGAGTGTTATATAACCAAAGTATATATGAACTTGGATTGCCCCTGGTCTGTAAACCTAACTTGTATTTTGGACTTCAATCTCTTCAATAATAATCTTAAGACAAATTTCTTGCACAGCTTTACAGCACGATTGATCAGTACAACAACAACAACAAGATTCCATTTATAAAGCGCCTTTCACGTCAGGAGGACGTCCCAAGGCGCAGTAATAATACTAGCTCAGACACACTTTCCTTATCTCTGCCAAAGCCATAGATTTCAACAACAACAAACTACAGCGCAGGACAGTCAGGGATTTGGACCCGAGCTAGAGGTTGTGATCAGGAGCCATGGAGGGCAGGGTAGTTACATAAACTATATTATGTTATAGTTTTATAACCCTTAGTTATAATATAATTTCAGGTTATCCTTAGTATTTATTCCAATGGAACAGCAATTATCAAAGGTGAACATTGTATTTTCTGTTAATTGTACTCTTTTCAAGTTTGGCACCCCACACCTTGAACACTGGACTTTCACTTTAGGTTTCTCAAATTAATAAAATAATTCTGTCTTTGCAAGACCAGCACCTTGTTCATTTGACAAATGTGAGCCTCAATAGTAAATGCCTTCAGGCTTTGTGTGTGTCTATGTGAGTGTGTGTAGCGGAAGGACAGACACAGATAAGACCAATCACGATTTTACCAAATTTTATACATTACTGTCCTTTCCAGCCTGGGTCACGGACAGATTTTAGGAGTGAAATGCAGGATGATTAGTCTCTTTACACAAATAAACAATTTGGGGGCTCGTGTCTTATATGCATCTGTAACTTTTATGGCACTGGCTTCTTTCCCACTTATATTGCAAGGCTACAAATTGCTTTCATAGTTCTAATCTCTTAAATACCTCATAGGATTCTTGTTAACTAATTATTTTCCATTTTCCTCCATGATCGGTGGCTTTCCAAAGTTTTTTTTTATGTTTTCCACTGCACATAAATGATTCGTCACTGGCATGACCTGGTTTGCTTTCATCAATACAATGTTACTTAATCCATTACCTGATGTATTCATTTCAAACACACTGATGCTGTAAATGTTCACACATACAATAATTACGTTTCCCCTTTTATAAGTATTCGTGATTAATAACCACTGTTCCACAACTTCATACAAGAATTTGTAATCCACAGCACAAACAGGACATAACTAACCAAAAATTGGTACAAAATTATCAAACTCACTCAGATACACTGTAGGGTGAACTCATAACAACAACAAAAACAACAAATTATATTTGTATAGCGCCTTTCAAGTCAGGAGGATTGCCCAAACCTCATAAACTACCAGATTAAAGGTAGTTTGGAAATAATTAATGTTCTTTAATTATAGAAAATGTCAGAAGCATTTATTCTGTTAAATAGAGACCTAATAGCAGGACAACTCTAAGAAACACATCACAGTCTGTTAAGAACACATTTTAAAAACACTTAATGAAAGTAAAGAGGGAATTTTGAAGTCCTTTGAAGTCTTTTGGATGAGACGTTAAACCAAGATCCCACCTGCCTATTCAAGTGAAGGTTAAAGATCCCATGGCATGATTCAAAAAGAGAAGGGTGCTTCTCCTAATGTCCTAGCCATTTGTCATTTGTACATAAATAATGATGATATTATGATTTAGATTAAATAAGTTTCAATGATAGAAAATATTGTATTGTTGTCCATGATTTCAGTTCAAATTGGATAGTTGTTTTCAGGCTTGCACAAGGGCTCATACTGGTCTTTATGGAGTCCTGTAGCTCAGTGGTTAGAGCACTCGCTTTGCAAGCGAGAGACCTGAGTTCAATTCCAGGCAGGGTGAAACCTTGGGCAAGTTTCCTTACTCCACACGCCTAATAATAATCCCTCCAAAACCAAAAACAATAATAAATTGGTCATTTTCAATCTACGACTGTTTGTGGGACATTGCTGTGTGCAATTGGCTGCCGCGTTCGTCCACAAATATACAGTCAATTCACTTTACAGTGTTCTGTGAAGTGCTTTGGGACGTCCTCCCGACGTGAAAAGCGTTATATCAAATGCAAGGATTATTATTATTATTATGTGTGCCATATGTGCATCATGTGTATATACGTGTACAGAGGAAATTACAAATGCCCTTAATTATGTAAATCATAAGGATTGCTCGATAATTATACAATTAAGGGCACCTGTTATTCTCTCTGTACACATGGCACATAATGCTCACGTGGTAATATACAGTTTTTGCAAATTACACAGTGGAGCCTGTAGCAGATCTGTTTCATGCTTCATTGGCTTAAGCATTGTCCATTGTGGAACTGTGTTGTACAGACAGGAAGATTTGTGGTTCAATCCCTGGTCTGTGCTACGGTAGCTGATCTCAGCCGGGCTAACAATTAAGGACACTACAATTAGTGCAGTGATTCTCAAACACATTTTGTTGATGGCCCTAGTGTGCGGCCACCAAGCATCAAATCTGGTAGCCGCAGAGCAATGTTTTCCTAAAAACACTTAATCATATGAAAAATAAAGGAAATGTAAACAGATGCAGATCTCAAATGGTTTTCATTTATTTCTGTACATTTGACAAACCGCATTTGAGAAAATACTATTTTCACAAAATCTTGCACGGACATTAACAAGAACAGCACAATAAATGAAAACCATTTGAGATGTGCATAAAAAATACTATAAGGGACTAGAATTGTCAGTACAGTTATACTCGTCTTAGAGGTTAGGAGCAATTGTGTGAACAAAGCATTTGAGAAACTCTGAATTTGTTTCAGTATTCCTGAACTAGGGAGGGAAAAGTAAGCCAGGGCTTCTGATGCTGATAGCTGACAAGGCATCTGATCCACAGGCATAGGCTATGATGTGTCCATAGTCAAAAAGTGTCCGAACACAAATGGCTGGACCTCATACATTAAGAATGACCATTTTGCTGAAACTTGAAGGTGGTTGACAGCAATGGAACGACTCACCAGCATGATTTATTGCCTTTAAGAATGGAAGAGAGAGAGAAAGGAAGACATAAAAAAAACTAAAAGTTATAAAAGCTCAATGTCTAAACTCATATATGATATTAAGATCTGTGAGAAAGTGGGCTGTTCAAAGGAAAGATCAAATTTAGGAAGCTGCAGACATATAGCTGCTGGGCAGATTCATAATAAATTACACTTAATATTGAGAAATATCAAGTAATGCATTCAGTTTGTAGCATATACAATTACAGGATGAAAGATACATATTAAATAGGGTGTCAAGAAAAAATCTGGGTGTAATGGTCGACCAAACCTTAAACGATACCTCACACTATTGGGCAACAATTGCAAAGGAAAATAACAATGTGAACAGCTAGAAGTAAATCCACAGCAAACAATTCCAAGGAAGTGATCCTTATACTCCGTAAAACATCAGCAAGATTACAATATAGAGCATCGTTCCTAGGTGTGGCCAACATACTTACAAAGAGACATGGAAGCAATGCCAATGGCCTTTCTTCTGTTCACTAAATCCTTTCTTATGGAATGCAGCAAAAGAAGGAAAAGCAAGAGGATTTTAAGAAAAATGTCAAAATGGAATAAGTTAGCCTTTGCCAATTTTTCCTCCCATAAGATGGACCAACTCATTATTCCACAGCCCACCATCTGACAACTGACAAAAATCACCAACCCAAGACAGGGGTTTCCAGCCATGGACTTGGACTTGTAAGTTTCTCAGGGGCTATCTGAGTTATTGGACCATGTTAAGCCACACTGGCTTAATTGATAAAATAGTTAGCAATAGCAAGGTGATGTTTTAGTGACTGTTCAGGCATTTTCATTTTAAATTTCCAATCTGTAATGTGAATTGTTGACTAGAAACTCGATTACTACTAACCTGCTGCACCTCAGCTGCTGTGCTCCTGAACAGTTCAATGTAGCGCTTTCCCAGCATATCCTTGTGTTTCTTGAGTGCATTTTGTGCATACTCTTCACAGGCAAATGATACAAAGGCATCACCAGTCGGCCTCCCATCAGGATACTTGACAAATAAGATTCCCTCTTTTCCACCTGTTACTGGGCATTTTGGGCCAAAGAATGTCAAGACTTCCTCAGTGGTGGCTGTGAATGGAAGGCCGCGCATGCGAACAATAACTTGATTCTCCTTGGATAAGAAATGAGCTACTTCATTGGAGGTGCCTGCAGAGACAAATATTACAATATGAGTTTGTAGCATAGAAACCAAGAAAACATTGTTATATTGTGTTAGAGATACATTATATTAATAGATGGTGAATTACAATCAACCGATTGATTAGTCGGTCAGCAGACAATAGTTTTCAACTGAATTCTTATGCTCAGTTTATATAGGAATTTTCCAGTTAATTTGGTATAACCACAATATAAAGTGGGTTTAAGGTGAGACGATCATGCTCAAGGCTACCCTGGCAGCAGTATAAATATAGTTGGTGCAAATTGATTCCATTGAAGAACCCAAGAGATTTTTTGAGTTCATACACTCTAGACTGACACTCCAATGCATTGCCTGAGAAGTGTTTGAAGTGGCGTCTTTGGGGTGAGATGTTAAACCGAGATCCCTTCTGCCTATTGAGGTGGTCATTAAAGAATTCATAACACCACTCGAAAAGAGAAGGTAGTTTCTTCTTCCAATGCCCTAGTCAACAGTCCTCCACATAAAATTGCTCATTCACTTTATGGCTGTTTATTGGATATTGCTGTGGAAAAAATTAGCTGCCATGTTCGCCCACAAAATACACAGTCACTAACTCTTCAGTAAATCTTATGACATGCGTTGAGACATTTCGACAAGGTGACAAAGTGCTATATGAAATGCAAGGATTATCAAATCATAAGGAACAATACTTTAGAAGGTTTAGGTCCGAGTAAAGAACCATGTTTTTTTTATAAAGAATTCTTTAATTAATTTCTATGCAGAAGCATAGAAGCTGTGTAAGCATGTAAATTATGCATAAGTATTTTTCTAGTGGATATCTGCTCAATGAAACTTAGCTGAATTCAGAATTCTAACGAGCATTGCCTATTCAAACTCCATTAACGTCTTTGCTTAAACATGGTTAGGCTTCCCCTTCTATTATATGTTGAAGTTATGTATGCAAGCACTATCACATATTACGCAATGTGTTGCTTTATCTTTACATTGCTAGTTACCAAGTCCTTCCCCACTACGTAATAACCTCACATATTTTAGTTTGCAAACAATTATACAGCGAAAAGCTATTTTGCTTTATTGGAGTACAGAGAAATGTCCATAATATTGAACTGTATAAATCAACATCAACCTTACCTCCTGCAATTTTTAGAAAATCTTCCCCAGTTGCTTTGTATACCTGCGTAAGAGTTTATTACAATGAGAATATTATTGGCTGCCGCGTTTTGCCCACAAAATATAGTCAATTCACTTTACAGTATATTCTGTGAAGTGCTTTGAGACGTCTCAAAGTCGTGATAAGGCACTTTATCAACTGCAAGGATTATTATTAGTAGTAGTGTTTTGTGTGTTCTGCTTAACTATTGAACTGCTGGAGACTGTTAAATTATTTTTGCAGGTGTATTTTTTTATCCCATTGCAGCGTTCTCTTTTCTAACCCTCCTAAGGTCCCCATCCTTCACTTTGACAATGCCATCAAAAACAATACAATTTTCTCTTATAGCGTCTTTCACGTCAGGAAGATGACCTACAGCACTCACAAGGAAAATATAACCCATACATGCTTCTGTTGTTGCTCATCTGCAAACATGTACCTCAGGTGACTCTCAGTTCCGTTCTCTTCCTCCCTCACTCTAACATCCTGGGCAAGATTGGAAACTTATTGGATGTAAAGTCTGAAATCTGAACCTGCATCAATCTGTGCTATTCCAAGCTTAATGCATGGAAAAGTGCAGAAATCTTCCAACTTAATATTGAATTTATAAATTTTAAATTGAGTTTTCGGTTCATTGAGACCTTTGCAATCTATGATATTGATAAACATCACTGAAAACATTTAGAGAAACTGCAAGCCTAGAATTGAGAAGTGAACTGTACCATACCTCAATATATCGGTTCCCCATATGATGTTTGTGTCGTTGTAGTGCGAGGTCTCTGTGTTCTTCATTAACAAATCTAACAAGTGCTTCCCCATTCCGCCTTCCTTGTGAATTTAGGCACAGAGCAGCACCACCCCTGAGGAAGTGAAAAGCACAAACATTAATGGGATTTTACACAAACACTCTTTTTAAACTCTTTTTGGCGTTTACAGACCAGGAAGGTTGAAGAGGTCACAGCTGATAGTGAGAAGAAGTTTGTGGGAGCGACGAGGTAAATGAGGTAAATGGTGAGTTGAGTTGGCTCTAAGGTGACAAGCCAGCAAAAGAAGAGTGAAAGTGATTCAACAATTTGTGGTGGAATCAGTGATCCAATGCATAGTTCAGGGCACTGGACTATGTATATATATACATAGTCCATATAGTCATATATAGTCCATATAGTCCCCAGTGAGACATGTGGAATAGACATGCCACTGGGGATGAGATTCTTCCCATTTGCTTCTAATAACCTTGCATGCCAATGCCCAAATAGGTAAGATGCCCCTAACTGTATTTACAATATAATAATGCTTGCATTTGATACAGCGCATTATCAAGTCATTGAAATGCCTCAAAGTGCTTCACAGAATACACTGAATTTTACAAATTCAAACCTAATGATTTGACTGTGTATTTTGGGGGCGAAATCTGGCAGTCAATTGCATACAGCAGTGTCCCACAAACAGTCATGGATTGAGTGAATTTTTTTTAGAGGGATTATTACCCACGGCAAACGATCTGCCAATCAACTAACAGCTGGGTTCCAACTTACTGCTAGGTAAACAGAGGTGTGCTCCTGTTTTCCCCCCGACCCGCCCTATCATCGGCGGCCAAGCTTTCAGCCTCTTTGCCCCCACTCTTTGGAACTCCATTCCACAATCCCTTCGTCTTGCTCCCTCCTTTTCCTCCTTCAAGGCACAAAGGTTTTGCCTCACCCGGGAATCAAACTCGCTTCCGAGGCAAGTGCGCTAACCAGCTATGGGTTTCCACAAAAATATTGTTTTAAAATTGAATCAGACCATTTATGTCTTCCCCCTGCGCCTCTATAAATAACAAGGTAATAATCCATTTAAAGGTTCCGTTGACATTACAAACTATAAGAATGAAATTCAAGTAGTTTATTTTTGTCTTCTGAACCTTGGGGCTAGACTAGTATAAAATCAATGAGGTATTATTTACAATAATTATATAGTTCAGTATATCTTGTAAAATAATTTTACATGGCCTTGTGCCACAGTCTTGTTTGTGTTATCGTATGAAAGCTTTATAAATTGAATCTTGTTGTTGTTGTCTTGTTGTTGAGTCCAGGGAATCAATATTAATTTTATGAATGGGATCATTAATATTGTCTCTAGTAATCTGATTGTGAGTTACAGAAAAGTGTATTATTATGCAAGCCAAGAACAACAACAACAAAATTACATTTGTAAAGCACCTTTCAAGTCAGAAGGACATCCCAATGTGCTGAACAGTCGGAGATCTGAGGGTGGGCGTGTAGGGTTGGGATGAGGGAAGGCAGAGAAATAGGAGGGTGACTGAAGACATGGTCGAAAAGGAGGGTTTTGAGTTGTGCCTTGAAGGAGGCAAAGGAGGGAGCAAAGCGAAGGGATTGTGGAATGGAGTTCCAAAGATTGGGGGCAGAGAGGCTGAAAGCTTGGCTGCCGATGGTAGGGCGGGTCGGGCGAGAGACATGGAGCAGGCAGCAGCCTGCTGAATGGAGGGAGCGGACAGGTCGATAGGGGGTTAGCAGATCAGAGAGATAGGAGGGGGCAAGGCCATGGAGGGCCTTGAAAGTGAGGATGAGGATTTTGGATTCTATATTCTGAGAGATGGGGAGCCAGTGGAACCAGGCAAGCGTGGGAATGATGGGGTCACGGAGCCTGGTGCGGGAGACAGCAAGAGCTGCAGAGTTCTGGATGATCTGCAGCTTGTGGAGGGAAGAGTTGGGAAGGCCGAAAAAGGAGGGAGTTTCCGTAGTTGAGCTTTGAGGTGACGAATGCACGTATGAGGGTTTCGGCGGCCTGAGGGGTGAGGCAGTGGTGGAGTTGGGCAATGTTGTGGAGGTGGGGCAAGGCAGAACGGGTCATAGCATGTATATGGGGGAGAAAGGACAGTTGAAGATCGAACAAAACGCCCAGGTTCCTGACTGACTCGGTGAGGTGGAGTGTGCATCCGTGGATTCTGATGCTGCCAGTGCCTGAGGTGTGGAGGAGCTGGCACGAGCCAATCAGGAGGGCCTCAGTCTTGCTGACATTCAGCTGTAGAAAGTTGGCTCTCATCCAGGATCCATCTCATCTAAGTTGTGATGTACAAGAATAAGGCCTTCCTTTTTTTCTAAACATGTTCCTATTTTCTTGTGACTATTCTCCTTTGTGGGGTGGTGTGGACGACATGTAAACGGGGTTTCCTTGTAGCTAAACTGGCTCCAAGGAAACATGTTTGGCAATGGAATATCAGAATCGAGCCAGCTATCTGTGGCAGTCGAGTAATTCAGTTCCTAAGACAGTTACTTTACCTTTTGCATGGAACTCAGTTTAGTTTGGATAACTCTTCTGCATGTGTGAGACACCTGGCTGACCACCCCAAAAATTATATTTTCTTTACTTGCATTTTGAAAAGAACTAAGAGGCATTGAGGTATGATTTATGAGGTGTTGTAATGGAGAAATCTATACAATAGATCTACAATGATTGACCTGTTCATGTGGCATATTTGGAGTAATGAGAAGGTCTAACGAGAGTGAGAGTGACATGCGGACAAGAGTATTCCTCATTTTAGAGACCAGCACTCCCCAGGAGGAAGGAAATAATTAAACAAGATGTTGCCCTGGCCACTGAAAGGCACACTTGAGCAATGGCTAGTGAGAAGACACAAAGCCATGTGCTTGTCACACTTCATCAAGGTAGAGGAGACGAGCAATACATAACTCTCCCTGTAAAGTTTACCAAATTTTCAGACTACTTAGTCTCAAAGATGAACCATAGACATGGATGATAATAGCTTCAATCCCCGATTTGTATTGAATTATCTGAGTTCGAATGGGGGCTACAGTGCCACCAGACAAGAGGGTAATTGTGACTATTTCCTACAAAGTGCATCTGTGAGTATTGGTTAAACACAGGATTGGACTCAAGTGTGATGACTACTTCTACCCACCTGTCCACACACACTCACTCACAACTAAAAAGTCTGCAAATACTTGTTGTCTAGGCTCACATACAAAGTACCTGAACTTTGGGTACAATACTGGAGGTAGACCAGCACTTGTTGATCCAATGTAAGTCAATGCCTTCATGATAAAATGTAAGAAAATTATAGATAAGGGAGGAAGTAACTAATATTCGATAATAATTTTTGTTTTAACAATGACTACAGTTGTCTTGAAAGATATATCACTGTAACACAATCAACTCTTGCATCTTGAGTTAAATACTAACTTGGCTATGTTGAGGCCCCTGAAGAATCTTGCAACATCTTGGTCGGATGATTGCCAGGGTAAGCCCCTAGCTCGGACTATTGTGTTATCATCAATGATCTCCATTTTGCTGCTGTTGGTTAGAAAAAACAAGGAAGTGACAAAATGTTTCTGCACAAAATTTATTGGGATTTAATTTGTGGTATTTCTTCATACGGAAGCCGAGTTTCCAGAATGGGGACTCTTTCAAGCTAACATTAGTGCACCATGCTGTCTCACAGGTGTATGATCTACTTCTGGAGCAGAGTGCTCAATAGCAATTTCAATGAGATTTCTTAGTATAAGAATGATCAAAATTAGACTTCCTTGATAAAAGCAACACTCGTAGCCACACTATCCTAAAACCCAATAGGAATGTCATCCACAATAAATAGCTCTCCTTCTGTGTGTGGTAGCAAATATATGTGTAACCCTCAGTTTGGTTTGGATACTCTTCAGCCTGGTGATGGGTTTCTACATGTGTCAGACACAAGGCTGAACAAAAAAAATCACTATCATAACAGAAAAACACTGTTTTCTTAAAAAATAAGTAACAAAATCCTTAAGAAGAATGGGTGCCGGTGGTGATGATGGTAGCAGTGAAAGAGCTATTTTGATCAAACTTGAACAGAGATTAGCCAAAGGGCTGAGTAAATAGGTCCTTGCTGCCAAACTCACGGATTTTGAAAAGTTGGAAAGAGGATGTAATGTTTTGACGACAATGGTTATTTTGTGTTTGTTTGCCAGTGAGTTTATTGACCTTGGTGCTGTGCTATAATGGGATATTTTGATGGTCAATAGGTTTATTGACAAATAGAGAGCAACTCCCTGGGAACCCCTCTGTCATCACCAATTACACTATACTCATTTCTTCCCCCCTCTCAGTATTTCACAATGAACTCACCTGCTTGCACCTAATTGTTACATATACGGCCCATGTTACAGTTTATCCCCGTAAACATACTAAAAACACATAGGGTGTCCATGTAGATGAAGTATGCCTTTTTTATTTGCTCTATGCCAACAATTCTGGCTTTGATTTTATTACCAAATCCAATAATTACTTGTATTTACTAAAACAACAACAACTTGCATGTATATAGCACCCTTCACATAGAATAGCGTCTTAAGAGTGCTTATAATAATTTAATATTGTACATCTGCATGACTTTAATTACCAATAATATGGCTTCACACATAAACCTCAAAAAAATTTGTATACTGTTTGTGTCAGAAATCTTTGTAAAATGCATTCAAATTGACTCTTTATTACCTTTTATGCTTCCTATTTGCTCACAGTTCTGCCACTTTATTTGTCTCAGAGACTACTCCACAACAATCCCCACTCCATCAACTTGCATCCCACAGGAAGCATTGTTGAAAAGAACATTTTTATAGTGTTTTATCATGTTAAAATATCCCCCAACTCTTACTTTTAGTCATTGCTTTGTTTGATAATACAGTCAATACGACAAAAAACTTAACAGTGAATGCGGTGCTGTTTCTCCTCCTCCATCCCTTGACATCATCATTGAATGTATCTAAACTTTGTACCTCACAAATCCTGTTGTACAAGTCTTGGATTATAAACACTAAACACTTACCAGGTCCCAGTTTCAAATTTGTGATTTATTCTTTCTGGATCTGTGAACCTGTGATCTGAATAGAAATAACAAAATCAGCTCATTCACATGAAAGCAAACATAAACATATATTGGAAGGATTCTACTTACTGTAAGGTTCGGAAATAATTGCTAATATAACGTTGCTTGTTGCTGTAATATCTGAAACACCAAATCTGTTGTTTTCTGCGTTGTCTTCAAGGTTCAAATCTGCAGAATCTCATCAAGGAAATTGATAATAATCCTTGCATTTGATGCAGCACAAAATGTCTCATATTAGTCCATCGAGTTTTTCTATAATGTGTAATGACTGTATATTTGCAGGCAAATGCAGCAGCCAGTTTCCATACAGCAATGTCCCACAATAGCCATGAAGTTAATAAGAATTTGTTTTTATTTGGAAGATTGTTGGCCAGGATACCAGCCAAACTCCCTTTTCTTTCAAATAGTACCATGAGATTGTTAACATCAACCTGAACAAGCAGCTGCTTGTCTTCTCCCAAAAGACACTAGATGCTAAAAAGATGACAATATCATAAGAGTGACTCTAAAAACGCAAGAACATTAATAATTGCTTTCATACTAGAAGGCTCGTAGTCAGATCAGAAAACATTTCTTGACACAGAATGCTGCGAAAATGTGGAAAACACTGTCTCAAAAGGCCATGCAGGCAGAAATAATTGGGATGTTTCAATGTAGATAAATAGATAAGATACTTGAAAATAATGGTGTTAAGGCATATGGAGAAAAGGAGATAAAAAGATGATAATTGGTGGGGTTCAATGGGCTGACCAGCCCTCTCCTGGTCCCTAGTTCCTAGAATCCATAGTACAAATTGTCTTTGAGAAATAAAGTTTAAAAATAATAATCGTAAATGAGAAAAGCTGGCTGGACGTCTTTATTTGAAGTACCTATTACTGTAAAGGTCAGCGTACAGTATTAAGTCAATACAATTTATCAATATAAATATGAGGTCAGTACAACTTATCTCATTGTACTGTATTGTGTTTGAAAACAAATCCAAAACAGATCTGCTCAGCTCTCTCTCAATGACTGACTGAGTAAAGCCACTGGTGCTGCAGTTCAGCGTATAGACCAGCAGGTTGCAGTTTGAATCCCAGTCTGTACTGAGTAAGGTGATCTCAGCCAGGGCAATAGTACATTCAGCTTTGGCTCCTCAGACTAATTGAGAGTAAAATCAACCAGGGCTCCCGTTTGCTATCTACAGACTCAGCATCACGCTGAACTATGATGTGTCACCAGTCAAAGAGCCTGCCAACACTCACAGTCAAGACTCACCTATGAATAATGGCCGAGGTTGTGGAGGGGGCCCAATTCCTATTGAACAGTAACCAAAGAGAAGAAAAAATGAACCAAATTCTTCAGGTTAGGAAGAGGAAATTGGAGGTAAAATACAATCTAAAACAAAACTTTTGCTCAAACTTTTTCCATGGATTTGCACCTTTAAGACAATAGTGACAAGCAGTTACCAGAGGTGATCAGTAGTAATCGTATGCTCAGAAGCCTTTCACCAAAGGTTACATTCATTTGACTCTTATCGTATTGTTTTAACCCTCATGTGGCACTGATGAACCCACACTCTGCATTGATTTAATCAACTCAGGTACTCCCGTCAGTGTGGTGTAAAAAACAAAAAAACTAGATCAAAAACATTGAGGGGGAATAGGGAGGAACCAAAATTAAGTATTTTTTCCCCAAAAGGATACGTTTTGAAATGTCACTGAGATCGAGTTTGTGCAGATCAGGGGAACCTGGGCAGCATTTCTTCAGCTCTTTTCGTAGATCAAAAAAGGAATAGAAGCATTCAGGTAGCGTGACATTCTGTCAGAGGAAGAACCAAATGGAAACCATCAATAGTTAGTCGTTTGCATATCGTTTGCAACAATAATCTCTTAACACAACATCCACAAGGAAAACAGAAGCAAATATGCACTGGTGCCCACGAGGGGCGAGAAGGAAGAGTAACTCTTCCGTGAGCTCTTGGGAGGGGTGAGCAATTTTTTTTCATTCTGTTTACAATCATTTACAGGCCTATCACCAAGGGGGAGAAGTTGCCTGCCCACCCCATTTTTTGCTAAGCAGTAGTATTTTTTGTATATATTGCCGCCCCACCACCCTGAAAGAAACCAACACATAACTATGTGAAGGTCGTCATAACTAGATCGTTGCAATATAATAATAATAATAATAAACATTTGATATAGCACCTTATCACATCATCGAGACTTCTCAAAGCGCTTCACAGAATATACTGTAAAGTGAATTGACGGTATATGTAACTTATAACATTAATTTAAACGCTCAAAATACACTTTTTTTCCCACAAAACAGTAACCACCCCCCACCCGACCACAAAGAAATTATTTAAATGATTTAAAAAATTATTTAAATGATACTTTTTTTTAAGCTGAGCTCAGAGAATTTACTGCATTTGATATTACCACAAAATCAATAGGCTTCATTAACCCCCCCCCCCCAACCCCACCCACCCACCACCACAGTACATACCTTGTTACAGGCTTCGGGATGAAGCACTTGGCGGATGTGCAGTTGCCCAAATGTACAGAGACAGAATGATGTGTCCACTCCAATGTTCAGCTCATTGCTCAGAGATCGATTAAACTGCGTGTGTGTGTGTGTGAGAACAATTTCTAATCAGAACCAAATACCTTCCAATCACTTTAATGGACAATTAAATACTGTGCTCGCACAGACCCCCCTCCCACACCACCCCCCTCAGTGCAAGGCACGTTCCCTCCTCCCCACAAGAAACTAACCCGAATCCCAGTGCATCGTTCTTCCAGCAATGAAAACGAAATGATCTTTTAATGTGTTCACCGAAGGGCAAAAAAGGGCTTCTGGTTTCAGCATTGCACCCAGAGAGGTGACATTCACTCTGAGCGCTTCCTCGCCGGGAAAGGTGAGCTCCACAAACGTTTTGCTTCTCTTCAGCAACATTTAACATCCCGATAACACTGCGGCCCCGAGTGATCTCTGTGACGTACGTCCGTCGGGGAATCTCACAGCTCCAGCCGGCGTTTTGCCTCTAACTCTTAAAACGTTCGCAGTGTAAGGTAACAGCGAGTTAGCCCTCACCCTAACCACAGGCTGCAGAGGGCGGACTGCACAGGTACAGTCACCCACAGGCTGTGTACAGGCGGATTGCTTCAGGCCTCCACAAGGACTTGTTGTGATGTTAGTAGCACTGACTGACTGACTGCACCGCTCCAGCTGTGGTGGAGGGACTCAGGTCAGTGTAAATCCTGAGCTTATTGCATTCAGACCCTCCCGACATTGGCTTTCTGTTGGGGAATGGGAGATCGACCCCAAACTGCACCAACCCCAACAATCACACACACACACACACACACACACACAGATATCTGCCTTTAGATTATAATCTTTCGGGGGCGTCGGTCTACAACCTCAACCAACACTTTCTTTACATTACTTAACTCGGTTTCATCGTACAAAATAACATACGCAAAGTCCCTTTTCACAGCCAATTGCCGTATGATGTTTACTCAATGTGATGGGACATTTCAGGTTGTTTTGGTGCAATATCCTCAGCACTTTTTCAAAGAGCAAAACAAGGCCATTGGGTGAATTGAATTGCAAAATTGCACGATATTTTTAGAGGTTATAAATGAATTCTGCACTCGGTCCGACACGTTCAATTTTGTAACACCAGATTAATGGTGAATTATCCTTACAGAGGTTAGACTCGAACACACACCCTCGCAGCTCTGGAGCTGTGTACTGTGGGTTATCTCAGTGATGCTGGTGCTTTGTCGGCAGAATCTTTGTGGTCGACCCGAAATCTTTCCCGACAAAGGAAAGTTGCAACTCCACACCAGGAACTTTTCAAAGTTTTGGGAACTTTTCGGGAGTGCGTTGATCCAACAAAGAATTCTCAAGTAACTCCTTGGTAAGGGGGAGTGGGGAGGAGGGGGGGGGGGGGGGGGGAGGGAGTGAGGGGGTTACTATCTAATGCAGAGTTACAGACTCCCATCAGGTCAGATTTCACCTCCCAAGACACAAACCTAATAAAGTCAGCCTTTACTGCTCGGGGTATATTCACCTGTTGGAGCACTTCCTCTAAGGGTTCTGCTGCAGTCAGGTTTTCCATCGTGATCCCAGTTTCTTCGGTGCATTGCTCTGTTAGTTCCAAGTTATTCGGTTTGATAAACACTTCATGCACTTTCCCCACCTGTAACACACACACACACACAGACACACACAGACACAGACACACACAGACACCCAACCGAGAACAAAAAAAGTTTCGAAGTGGAAATTTCACTTATGCGTTCGATAATAANTTTTTTTAAGGATTAAAAAAATTAAGCGATCCCCCCCCACCCCCCACCCCACACCCCACCACCAAGTTTTCGGAACGGGAGATAAAGGGGAAAATGCAAACGATCGTCTCGTACCTTTTTGTTTGTCAGATCCACCACTTGCCACAACAAAAGCACCAGCTCCTTCTCATCAGATCCCAGCCTCCTCCCATGCGCCCCGGTAGTTACCCCAAATAAAGCCACCAGGTAGTCGAGAGACGCCGTCATGATCCCCAGGAAAAGAGACAGCAACTGAACTAAACCCTAAAAAGCGACTCCCAATAAATGTCTCCCTCCCTCCCTCCCTCGTTAGTAAAAGAGGAATGAAATGAAAGGAGAGGCACCTACACCAGGACAACCTACAGCCGTCTAAACCAGAGCTACCCCCAGGAGGGGGAGGAGGGCTATTTTTCTGTGTCCCCCCCCACCTCTCCCTCCCTTTGCGTGAGAAATTCATGCAAATACATTGGGACCTCCTTTAAAGAACTTTTTTTTTTTTTTGCATTTACCTGCCCACAACCCCACGTGAGTTTGGAAACAGATACCTGGTTTCGCACAGAACCGGAGCCATTGGCTGCGGTCTCGCAGGTACGTGGCGCTGGGAGAGAGCAGCAGCAGCAGCAGCAGCAGCAGCAACAGCCACATCCTCCTCACAACTGGGAGAAACCCTTTGTATGGGTTCAGGCAGGGAATGAACGTCGCGGAATATTTCACGACAAGGTCTACCCCCCCACCCACACAAAAAAAATAAGCCCGCGATTGGCAACGAGGACCACATTTCTGCGCTCTGCAGGAGTCTGATCCTTGCTTTGCAGATGACACTCTAATCCCCAAATGTTTGCTCAGTTGCACTTTTTGTTGTTACCTGTGTGTGTGTGTGTGTGTGTGTCTGTGTGTGTGTTTAAACGTAAAACCAAGTGGGTGCAGGTGCTTTGAAAATCTGGACTGCCATGGAGCTGAGCGGGTCAGAGCAGATCAAAGGAGAAGGAAGATAGCCCTGGATCACACTGGGCACAGTTGGTGCAGGAGAGTGTGTGATAGTGGTCCCTGGAGTTGGATGATGGGCACCTGAGGGCTCTGACTAGTCAAACTGCCTCCTGGCTTAACTGTCCCCAATGAGAATAGCTCGACCTCAGATCCCACCTGTCAGAGCCACAGCATAGCCAAAAGTCAGGCTCAAAAGCAAAACTCTGTTCCTTTCTTTGAGCATACTGTGAAGGCGTGTTACCATGGCTTGGTGTGCGTTTTAATCTGGTTGATTTCTTTCAAAGCCGGAAATCCTTGGCCGAGGAAGAATAATGGGTTTGCTGTGAAGTACAGTAGCCAGACAGTGGGATTCTTTCCAGGTCAAGCAGAGAGGAGACGTCCCGCAATTTGCCTGAGATCCATCCACCAGCAGTACGTGGGCTATTCTGAAGGCGGTGTTGTTTGATACGCTTTAAGAAACCAAAAGTACAAGGAATATGAGTTTTTGTTCTGGACTAAAACGGTAGAATTGAGCAACGAATGTTCAGCTTCAAAGCAGAGAATGAGGCGTTTAATTCCGACCTGGAGAACAACTTAATTCCGGGTCTGGGTGTTAATTTTGGATTTGTAGAAATAGTATAACATTATATATTATTAGACCCTTTTACAGCATTGATCTGATATTATATATATATAAATACACAAGCTCAATTACCAATACATCGCTGTTTTAACAGAATCAGAAATAGTAAGAACCGACCACACAAAAGTAGACCATTAAAAATAGCACAGTCTTTACAATGCAAATTTTACAATATTTCAACTAGATTTTCTGGAAGAAAATATGTGAAATATGATTAATAAAACCCTAAATCGCCCTTAGTTATACGACATGTGTTAATCTGTGAGCATCAAATTTAGGTTAAGATATCCACCTTGCCACTTCAACCCTCCCTCCCACTTGCACTCTGACCTCTCCATCCATGGTCTCCTACCCTATTCCAATGAACCACAGCGCAAGCTCGAGGAACAGACCTTACAGCCTGGTCTCACTATTGATTTCAACAATTTCAAACCATAACAGCTCACCTTCCCCCTTCCCTCTTCTGTGACCATTACCACATCATCTGGGTCCCAGACACACCCTTTCTCTCTCTGGTCTGCCTGTTTTGTTGCAATTTTCTCCCCTATTGTTTTGCATAATTAACACATCATCCGCTGTCCTCTACCCCATTTTCTCCTTTGTTTTCTTTGCCCTGGCTCCCCCGTCTCTGTTAGTCCTTAAAAGTCTCTCCCTGCCAAACATTCCCCAGTTCTGATGAAGGATTGTGGACCTGAAATGTTGACTGACTTTCCTTTCTCCATAGATGTTGCCTGACATGCTGAGTGTTCCTGTGACTTCTGTTTTTGTTTCAGATTTCCAGCATCTGCAGTATTTTGTGTTTTGTTTAACTCCTGTATTACATTGTGATGAACCCATAACTTACAGATTGGCTCCCCAGATTGGACGGTGAGAATAAAAAGTAATTCGTCTTTATTCACAAATTTAATACAAGTTATTAAGTACTAATCAATTAATCTAACTGAAACTGGTAGTCCAGAAACCTAGTGACGGTATAAGTGAGCGACCACCTGGCAAAGTTAAGGAAGTTTCCTTCGAGTCAGTGTAAAGTTGGATGTGAAGGAGTTAAATCCTTAACGAGCTGCGTAGTTGGTAAAAGAAATGAAAAAAATAGAACCAGAATATTTAACGCTCACTTTATTCTTATTCTTATTATTGAGAGCACAATCAAGAGAGCATATGGCCAAAGTAAGTCCGAAAAATTAAAGGTAGAAAGAAACTCTCGCAAAGCCGCACAGCCCATGGAAGAGGAGAACCCTTCGGTTCTGATGAAGAGTTGTGGACCTGAAATGTTGACTCACTTTCCTTTTTCCATAGATGCTGCCTAACCTGCTGAGTTTTCCCAACTCTCTCTGTTTTTGTTTCAGATTCCAGCATCTTGTGTTTTGAAATAATTAAAAGAGTGTTTCACAGAAAGGGTGTGAAAGTCAGATTAGTGCACTAAAGAAAATGCTTGCTGCAGAAAGACAAAAGATTTGTGCCATTATTATGGTCCTGCAAAGTTCCTCAGGTGATAACAATGTGGATGACCTTGGTGATGAGGCGTACCATTACCACGACGGTGACCAGTGGATGAATGGGCCATCGGCCCATTCGGCCGTAACGTCTGCACCACTGGCATCGGCCGTAACGTTTTCTGCTCCTATGGCGCTCGTGATGCAGCAACGGTTGCAGATACCAACTGGTCAAGAAAGCTACAGGCTGAATGAAGGTCGAGGAGAACGTGGGAGAATCGTCCCCTCGGGACGCAAACTGTATGCCCGGTTGAGACACGATCTCCGAAACATGATGAAATGCCTTGTTAAGAAGGGACTAGAAGAAAGTAAAAGAGGATCAGGGGAACCTGTGACAAATACGAAATGATGGGGTCCCTGGCCTCAGTTGAGATCTTACTCAATTTGACCATTGATTTTGTACCACATTATTTGGGACCCTTTGCAGGTGAAGACATAGAAAATGCTGCTTTCATTTATATGGATGGGTCTAGTTATGTTAAGGATGGAAAGTGATACACAGGCTTCGGAATCTTCTGCCCACAAAAACAAGTGGACTCAGGAATTAAAATGTCCTCTGCTTCAGAACTGGCTGCTGTGACATATGTAGTGGATCATGTTAAAGATTTCGGACTACCATTAACCATTTACTCTGACTCATCATATGTTTGTAATTCACTAACAGAATACTTACCCATTTGGCAAGCTCGAAGATTTACGTCTGCGGATGGTAAGCCTCTGGCATATGCATCACAATTACAGCATATACTGGAAGTAGCTGAAGATTTTAAGGGGCAAATTGCCATACATAAAGTTAAAGCCCACAGTAAGGTAGGTCTGCTTGCAGCTGGCAACAATAGAACGGATGAAATTGCTAAGAGTGGGGCTAAATCAGGTCAGGAATGGCATTCTCCGACAACAGCAAGTCCCATGGCTCACATCAGCAGACGTACTCTTGAAGAATCTGTTCTAAACGTGACAGCATCTCAACAGAGTGATCCACTAATTTTGTCTTGTATTAAAGCTCTCAATTCTAATTCCCCTCTTCCCAACCAATTCTCACAATATCGCACTAATCTTAACGTTAAAGAGAGCATTTCCTTTTATACTAATACAGGTGTCAATCTCTTGTGGGTTGTCCCCCAACAAGTTGGTAATGACTTCATTATATGGTGCATGAATTACCCATTGGAGGACACCTAGCATATAACAATACCTTGAAACCTGTTCCATATGTGGGATGCTGGCCAAAAATTGTGCGCGATATACAGAATTATTACGACAATTGTCTTATTTGTGCTCAGTACAATCCAGATCCAAAAAGAAAAAAGGCTCTTTTGCAGCATACCAGAAGAATTAAGGGTCCCTGGGTGGATCTCCAAATTGATTACATTGGTTCTTTCTCTGGTACAGCACGGGGGAATCAATATATTTTGGAAGTAGCTGATGTATTTTCCAAATGAGTGGAAGCCTTTCCAGTGTGCAATGCTACTGCTTCTACAACTGCTAAAATATTAATTTAACATATTTTTACTCAGCGGGGCCTCCCTCAATCTATTGACTTGGATTAGGGTACTCACTTCACTGGTGAATCTAATCAACATGTAATTCATTTGCTGGGAATTAAGCAGCAATTCCATATCATAATAATAATCCTTGCATTTGATATAGCGCTTTTTCACATCTTCTAGGCGTCTCAATGCGCTTCACAGAAAAGACTGTAAAGTGAATTGACTGTATATTTGTGGGTGAAACGCGGCAGCCAATTGCGCACAGCAGTGTCCCACAAACAGTAGTGGATGGAAGTGACCAATTTTATTATTGTTTTTTTTTGAAGGATTATTATCAGGCGTGTGGAGTAAGGAAACTTGTCCAAGGTTTCTCCCTGCCGGGAATCAAACCGAGGTCTCTCGCTTGCAAGGCGAGAGTTCTAACCACTGAGCTACAGGACTCCACAGGCTTCGGGTATTTTAGAGGATATGAATTGCTCCCTGAAAACAGTGCTTAAAAAGATGGTGGACAGCTTCAGTCGATCATTGAATCAACTATTACCTATGGAGCTTATGAGTTTGCATGCCACCCCCACACAACCTTCTGGGTTTTCACCCCATGAAGTAATGACTGGCCGCATTCTTAAAATGCCTAAACATTTGTGGACAGATGGATTGTTAGCACATGAAATTCAGAGTATCACGCAGGAAAATTAGGTGCTCATTTACTG